TTGATATCAATGAATGAATGAATTAAATTGATTATACATATAAAAAAATATATTTGATCACATTAATAATGAAGTTATCATCTTTGTTTATACACCATTGACTTTTGGATCTTTTGTATTCAATAAATTTTTATCTATACAATAAATTAGCAAGTTAAATTTTTATCCCTCATATATTTTTTTCCAAAAAAATTTCACATCACTCAATTCGATCAAATGTTCAATTATTTAATATTTAGTTAATTTGTAATTTAACAAAAAATTTATTTCATACACGATAGTGTATATATGTTAAAAAAAATTATTGAGTTATATATTTTGAGAAAATTTTGACGATATTTTTAAAAAAATAATATGTATAAATTAATTTTAAATAATGTAAGCAAAAAAATTAATTTTAAATTCGATATAGTGGGATCAATTTTTTAACGCTAGAATCTTATATTTCATCATTTTATGACTAGTGTATTAATATGATATAACAAATATAAATATTATTTTATTTTTATCAATTAGAAGAAAAATAAATAAATCTTAAGTTGCCCACCCATAAAACAATTTAATGAATTTATGGCTCCCCCTCTACCTCACCAATATGTTTCTTCTCAACCAACCAACTTTAATTATTTATCTGCTGAATAAAAAAATAATAGATATTTATATGTGTTGGATGTCAATTGTCAACTATGAACTCATATAAATGGGGGTGTTCCATAATTATTTATGTATGACTTTGTTTATTACAAATAATTCGTATTTGAAAAATACCGTATAATATAAAATAGTTTTTAAAGAGATGCTGGTATTTGTTGGATAAGTATATTTGAGGCCGTTTGATGAACTTATTGAAATCTGTTGTGTTTTATATTATAAATACTCATCTAAATATGTTACAAGTAATCAATAGGCTAAACATTTTCAGAACATATGACATGATTAATAAAATGATAGGGTAATATTAGAGATGAGTAATGTTTTTTACAAATTCAAAACGATACGATATAAATATAATACTTGATATGTTACGTAACCGCCTCCACTTATATATATTCAAAATTTCGAAGATTCATCACAATTTCAAAGATTTGGTGTCAATATTTAAACTTATCCTTGACCCTTTGATTCATTGTCAACATCAATGTTAATGTGATTTTCTCTCTCAAGTGTGCTGAAGTTCTAGCATCTGGCTTATCCATCTATCCAATAAAAGGGAGGTTGGAAGTTAAGAATATACCCCCATAAACCCAAGAATAGTCTTGATTAACTGAAATTCGATCCAAGGGTACAAAATCACTCACTAAATTTCTTTTTCCGCCCATGCTCCCGTCTAGCCTTTTATCTTTCCTCATTTTGTCTGTCAATCACACTTGCACCCCTCCCTTATCTATCAATTAATATTACGTGATGTAACAGTTCGATAATAAATAAACAATAATAAATAAACAAGTCTGCAAGTGAATCTTATAAAAATTCATAATCACCCAAGAATGTAATGCATAACTACCTTAGTGATACAAAGTGGACCCCATTTTATAATTTTTTTATTAGATAGTTACACCACATTAGTGTTACTGACATGATGCAATTATTACACTCAATATATACTCATCAATTAGGCATATACCCTCTCTCTCTCTCTCTTTCTCTCAAAATTTATATTTTTTGACCTTATATTTCATGTTATTTATATTTGGCTCCCTTAAAGTTTTAATATTTTCTACTAATTTTTTGTATAGCAGCCCTGCTATAAATTTTTTGGTTCCCTTACATCTTTTTGTTTTTTTCCTCTTTAAAAAAGAGGTGAGGGTAAAAAGAGTGCCTAGAGACCACCCCCATAAACAATCACTTGTGAAATCATGAAATCTCTGATCATACTCGTTACTCTTCTAGGGAACGAACCTAATTTTTACATACTTATAATGCAAAATTAAAACATAATTATCAACATACATGAAATCATAATCGCAAACCTTGATCTACGAACTTTGTTGGTGTAGCCTGAAAATCATTTTCTCTCCTGACCTTTATTTTTATGATACACAACTTGATAGAGCATGTGTATATTTATAGGTAGAAAGATAACTAATCTCTTTGTTCAACCATAATTTCACTTCCCATCAAAGTAAAAGTCTAGAAAATTACTTCTCTTAATTGATAAATCATAAACCATTAGTTATACTGGTTATATTAAGATTAATAACCTTATCATTATCTAATCTAAACTAATTATCAGATAATAATCAATTAATTTATGTATGTCAAATTGTGTGTGTCACATTAATTCTTACATTGATATTAAATACAAAGAGTAGTGTAATCACACTTCACAATCCTATGTTTCATTTGGCTTTAGAGCCATAGTTATACATCACCATCAATAGTTTTTTTTTTGTACTTATTCATTTGGCTTAAGTTCTAAATTTTATATCTAATGGCAATGTAGAAGGGTCTTACAATCTTCAATCTCTCATCCCCAAATTCTGTATAATTTTTTTTGATGTAAATTAGTAAATAATTATTACATTGAGCAATCAACTATTAAGATTTAGAATAATGAGTTACTCCAGATGTGAAAACATCCACAAAAGAATCACTACAAGAAAAGACAATTTTAACTTTGACAACAAACCGAAACAAATCGTCTATTTATCGATGCAAACAACTCTTGCATCGACAAATAGATTATTTGCATCGGTAAAAGGGGTGAAGTTAAAAAAAGGTGATGCAAAAAGTTAGCTTTGACAAATTGGCCGATGCGAACAAACTGAAGCAAAAAATAGGTATTTGCTTCAGCATTTTGTCGATTCAAATAATATTATTTTTTTTTGCATCAACAAAAATACAAACACAAGTAGTCTTTTTTTGCTTTGGCAAAATTCTGACGCAAATAGTTTTCTTTACGCCGACACAGATAAAATTTTAGTTGTCTCGACAATTTGCCAATGTAAATACTTTTTATTCCTAAAAAAAATAAATTTCATTTACAATAATGGTTTCCCTTAGCAAGCATACAAATCTAATCTATACATTTTTCCGATGTAGTATAAATGTCGGGATGTGCGAAAAATTTTGATTTCCTATTTTATCCCTAATTATTATAATAAAATCAATTATATCCACCTACATACTTCATCTAATTTTTATTTTTTACTCCTATTTAACTTTCAACTTATTTTGGACTCTTTTATAAGAATTTCTAAATTTTTTTGAACTCATTTATTAGTAGTATAGTTATATATAATTTTCTATATCTATATGAAAAAACAAAGTCATATATATGTTAAATTATTATACACATAGAAGTTATCAAATATAATTTCAAGGTCAAGTATGTGTTATATTTTATCTTTTTGGCTTGTAATAATATTATAAGCTATTTAATCAATTTATTTAACAAAATAAAAACAATAATTCTATAATATAAATAACCGATTAGGGACTCAAAAACTTATATAATAAATTAAAAAATTATTATTTAAATTTATTTACGTGTAACGCACGGCGTGCATTACTAATTACTATAAGTGTCTACAACACAAAACGTCACTGGCTCAAACCATAAAGAGGTAATGTGTAATTTATATTCCGTCTACCTGTATTGGTAGGAACCTGTTCAGTTTGGTTTAATAGAAATTAGGTGAAAAGCGTTGATTGATAAGTTTTACAAAGTTCAAATACAAAACTAACATTATTGAAAGTTGAAACCCGCTACCAATTTAATGACTACAGTGCATTAAATCAACAAATTAAGTTTAAATAAGATTTTTCTCCCAATTTATATGTGTGGCGTGTTATAATCTGTTAATCTCAAATACTATATATAAATATAAATTTAAAGCTAAACCTTATAAACTCAAACACGGTGGATTTATTATCATTTTGAATCCAAAGTTACAACGTGAAGCCCCTCTATGGCTTCATAGGGTACAGTACCGAAAGTTACAGGGTCTTAAAATCAAGTTACAATATTTTGAGTGTCTATGTTACAATTCAAATCCTTTCAAATAAAAAAGTTGCAATTCAAAAAGTCTATGTTATGAGCGATCATTAAATTACAGCATTTAAAAAACAAGTTACATGTTTTAAAGATAAAATTATAATTGGTTAAAATTATTCATAATCAATCATAATATTTCATGATCATTTGAGACAACTAATGAATAAGTATAATATGCCCTTTGCAAAGTCTATGTTATGTTTCATGGTCCAAATCTTTTACATCAATGGACATGGTAGGAACCTAAGGAGGTAATCACTCATAAATATTTTAGTTCTACCGTGAATGGTCTGCCTTTGACCGAACTGGAAATAAAATTAATCAAAGTGCATGTAATTTAACCTGTACACCCTTAATCGTTGAAACAAAAAAAAATGACAGGGCCAAGATGGTGAGAAACACCAACCGAACCCGATTAATGGTATCAGCTCATTAAAGCAATGCTTATGATATATATATTCACACACACACGACTCAAGCTTGATCTTGAACTTGAGTTTAAACTCCAACATAAGCTAGAACTGAAACCGGAATTTGGACTAAAACCTAGAACAAGATATTTGAAACTTATTACAAACCCGAGTCGAACCCAAACAGTCTAGTGTTAGGCTTGGTTTGGTTTATTTTCAACCCCCACGTTCTGCATGAGGTAATAGTTGTCACAATGGGACCATATGAACAGCATAATCAATAACGACTTCCCAGATAGAGATACAAAGTAAATTCTTCCCCAACCCTACACACCCAAAACCATCCAAAAAGAGTTGCAATGTTTGGGCACCGGCCCTCTGTCATGTGCTGGGGATCCCGTTCTGGCTAAGTACATGAAGGTATCCTGTCTCGCATAGTCCCAGTAAGTATTGAATTAGAGGGACTACGCGATGAGAAAATATAGAACTTGTGCAACTCAATTATGACACTTACCTACTGAGATCCGATACGAACTCGCGTCACCCGAGAGACTCTAAAGAATATAGATGTGCACACCGTTTCATAAAATATAAAACATGTTTTCTTATTGGCTATATATATATACATAAATTACCAGCCTATACATACAAGTATTGCAGGGTATGAGTTTCACAATTCACACGTACCGTAATATGCAACTAGATATTAAGGAAGAGATCTAGCGAAATAGAATTCACTGGAAGAAGAATGGAGAAAAAATGAAAAGCAAAAAAAATCACCAGAATAGAAACAATCTAACTGAAGAAATAAGAGGCATGAAATGATAATCATTGCTTATAGTAGCCACTCTGATGTGGAGGAGGATATGGAGATGGAATGGTGTAAGGAGGCCGAGGTAGAGATCCGGATTGCTGAGGAGGTGCATTATAATAAGGGCCCCGCCATCCAGGATAAGCAGGTTGGCCATACTCATGGCTTACTGCTGGCTGTTGTTGGTACAGTTGAGGAGGGTATGAAGAACCACCTGCAGCTGGCACATTGTAAGGAGGTGGTGGCTGTTGTGAACCATAAAGGGGAGGTGCTTGAGAATAGGCAGGCATTGTTGGCTGCGGAGGTGGCTGATAGTAAGGTGTTTGCGGACAAGGAGTATTGGACATGCTCCCAGGATCCGTTTGCTGTTGAGAATTGTATCTTTGAGTCTGATGAGGCTGTCCAGCTGGAGGATAACTGTAAGCACCTGTATTCTTACCATCTTGAAAATTGAGACCTGACAATTGTCTCTGTACATCTTCAATCATTTCTCGGCACTGAATGTTTCTGGTCATCACGAAATCACTGCATTGCTGCTTTACATTGGTGATTGCATCCTGTTTAACAAAACAAGGAAACTATAAATGAACTCATCCACAATGACAAGCCGAGACAAAGGTAAATTAGTGATCCCCAAAAAAGTCAAATTTATGATCTCATAATCTTTATGCACACAAGCAAGAAAAGGACCCTACGATGAGAACATACAAATTAGAACTGAAGATCCCATGCAAGCAAGCAAGACATTTAAAAACCACAATGACAATAATAAGGTACTTATTCATAAGTGGAGTTGGGTATTTTCATGCTTGTGCAATTTCTAAATTGCACAATATATAAACCTAAATTTTCAATGAAAAATTACATACCTGAAGAGCAACATAGAACTTCAACCCTTCATTAATGTTGTCTTTGATTTCTCGGAACTTTGCTATGGAAGCTTCAATCTGCTTATAGCTCCTCTCACGAGATGCTGAGAAATTGAGGAGAAAGAAAAACAAGAAGTGTCAAAAAGGGGCAGAACCAAAACAAATCGGAAACGCTGCTCAATTAACTAGTAGAATAATGTGAAAAAATAATTGAAGTCTTAAAAAGATAAAAGCTAATCGGTAACCTGATTAAAGCAGCAGTTTGGGTTGAAGAATTATAGGTGTTGATAAAAAGAGAAAAAAAAAAAGAGGAGCCAAATAGCAAAACAAAACATCACAATCTAAAAGACAAACTGGCGCAGCAGAGAAAAATAAGCATATATGTAGAAGACAACATGTATCTTTGGATCTCACGTGGCTGCCAGTGCACAACATTACGTATACAAAGGGGAACACAAAAGCATATAAACTACTACAATAGACATGATTCCCAACAATGAGTAAGAAACTGGCCAAGTATGATTGACATTGACTACCCTTCACTACGTTTCTTACTCAAGTTTAGTTGTAGATATGGAATCAATATGGGATCAAGCTGAAAGCAGGATGTCTCGGATGGGGTAAATGCTACTGCAAAAAGCAGTGGACCGTTATCACCTCATAGAACAGGTCTTTACCAGATTTGTAAAATCTCACTAGCTGAATGCAAGTAACTTGAATAAAGGAAGTCAACTGGATGGACTCTATCCTGGATGATACGCTCAAAGTCAACATCATGTATATCTCGTTTTTCTATCATGAAGAAAGAGAAAGGTAAATTAAGACTGATAAAATACTCTCTTGTTTCCTATCAAAAAATAAAAAGAAAAGTAAATTAACAATGATGTTTTCAGTTGAAATCATTCAACAACATTTGTTGAGAAACAAGAAAAAAAAAAAAAACCAGCTGAGTTCAAGCCTCAGTTGGATTCTCAATATCGAAAAAATCCCTGCAAAAGTGAAGCAAGGGGGAGGGTTCAAATTTTACTGCAACTAACACACACAAGGCACAAATCACAACATGACAAATGAAAAAGGGCAGCCCAGTGCACGAGGCTCCAGCAAATGCAGGGTGTGGGGAGAATCAAATGTATGCAGCCTTAATCCCCACATGCAAAGAGGCTGTTTTTGTGACTCAAACCCATTCAACTCGCAATGGAACAACCTCACCGATGCACCAAGGCCCACCAATCACAACATGACCACATATAGAAAATTATACAGAACTATTCCTATCAACAAATCCATGAACGAAAAATGATTGATGGTATCAAATAAAGTTAGTGAGAGTACTGAAACCTAATTTATGCAGGACATACCTTTGTAATCTTCAAGATTAAAGACAGCAGCAAACTTATCATTCTGTGCCTGTAAACAAACATATATTATTTTAGGAACAAAAGAGCACTTTAAGGATTTCTCATGTATTTTGATTTACAATATCATTAAAAGTGACCACTTAAAACAATTTTTATTGTTCTCAACTCAACACAAAGCCCTTCTCCATTATACTCTATTAAACTAGGAAAAGGATATCATATGTGCAACTTGGAGCCCAAAAAAATTTGAAGCTACATTTCTCAAATAAGGGCAGTTCTCAAATAAGGGCAGCCCAATGCACGAGGCTCTGCCCACTAGGGGGAATGGGAAGGTTCCTTTCCCACAAATGCAAAAAAGTTGTTTTTGTTGCTCGGACCCATAATGTCAAAGTCACAGTTGAGCAGCACAATTAAATTGGATGAAAATGTAGCTTCCGGAATAAGTATCCATTTACATAACATGAGACAAGTTAGCAGCATCTTTAACCAATTTTCCAAACATTGAGTCTCAACATATTGAAGAGTACCACTTTGTGTCATTCATAAGACGAGCCAAGTGTCAACAAAGCACACGATTATGATTTCTAAAATGCGTTGAATATCAAGTCTTGCACTCCCAGCCCCAAATTAAACCTCTCAGACACTAAACACATGAAAATAGAGCTATCACCCAAAAGTGGTCTGCTCATGGATCAGTAAACTCCAGATTCCACTGTCAAATGAAAAAGAAGAACGCTTAATAAGAACTAATGAGCAAAAAGTGCGACAAATTTAGTTTTAGGCAGTAAATCTAATTCAAAATTTTGTAATTTCTTGTTCTTTTTCCTCCTAGCTCAAACAAAAAACATGAAGTATTGATGAAGCAAAAGACCTCCATAAGTCAAGGACATTCTGTAGCTTTTATCAACAACCACTGACCAGAGAAGAACCATTTAAGGTGATACCATGACATTAGAGCTCAAAACAGGTGAACTTAATTTTTAAGAAAGAACATGACAGAGAAAAGAAAATTTAGGAAGCCTTAATATGGAGAAAATACTGACCTGAATTTGTAGCAGCAACTGTTCTTGTGACTCAATATTCTGGGAAATTTCTTCACAAATGTGATCATACTTCAATATTTCTTTTCTGAAAAGATCCTCATAGGAGCCAGTGGATGTCATCAACTTTGGCAGTATATCATCCTGAGCCAATTTATCATAAGCATCAGAAAGTGCTTCCTAATGGCTAAAAGAAACAACTGGACACTTTTTCTAGCAAATGCAATCTCCAAGGATTAAAGCAAGATACGCAAAATTGCAACCAAAGCAGTTCATTCATCAAAACCAAATGTTTAAAGCAGCAACAAAAGAACATATCTTAGAATTAGAAGCACATAAGCAAATTACATTTTCGCTGAGAACATGACAAACAACACCAAGCATGCCTTTATGTTACTTAAACCACCTCATTCATCAACTTTATAGAAATCATATTCTCCTGCATAGAAGTTCTAATTAATTCCATAAGCACACAACTGAACCAGATCCTAATTAATGTGCCACTTTCAGGCCTCCCCGGAGACTTAATTCATGCACTAGAATGCTTCTAACAAGTGACAAGGAATACTGCACCCAAACCTTCTGTTTCATTTTAGAAATATGATCTAGAATCCAGATGCAATACATTACTCAGTGAAATTCAAGCTTTCTTCTCCACATAATGGACTAACCAAAAGTATAATGGTTGCATTTGGCAGCATTTAAGGATGGACCTTTCAGCAATTCAAAGTCCATTTCAATAATTATGTGCTGTAGTCCTATCTAAAAAAAGAATAATCGTGTGTTTGGTGAGGCTAGAAGTGCATCCAGCCACCTAGCTTCTGAAAACGGGGTTTTTTAGACTTGCGAAGCTCATTCAGTGAAATTGTAAGTAATTTTCACTATTAACATTGCTTTTCTATGACAAATATCTTTTTTAACCTTGTCTAACACTAATAATTCCCATAATGTACTTCTGTTCATCTTCTACCTCTTTTTTCTATGAATCTGGTACTTCGAAATTGATTGAAAGAGATGAAGAAGGGACCTTGGTGTCAAGGGTCAGCCTCTCTACAAAGTTCATTCTGAGGTGAACTTTCAGTTCAAGAAGCTACACAAAACAGACCCACTATTATTGGGGAAAATCACAATTTCGGTCCTCCAAGTTTGGGGGTAGTGTCAACATATTGGACCTTAATGATTAAAACGGTGCCAATGTGGTCCAATTGTCTACTGTTAATTTTTGAAAGAAAATAATCACATTACCTACACGTGATTAATTGCCAGAGTCATTTACGGAACTTAAATGACTCAGGGAAGCACAAATATACCGTGTTCAATGAACTCATTAATCCAACACGACTTGCTCATTTTCCACCTGCCTCAACCCACCCTAGCCCACTCAATTACCTTTCACACCCATCACTATCATCCTTTTCTCTTTGTTTTTTTTTGTGTTAATCAATCCAAGAGCCAAATTCAACCTTTGTAAGATGGACAGAATCATTAACCATCAGACTTCAAACTCATGGCCCACACACACATATTATGTCCGGAAATATAGATTCGCAGAAACTACCATGAAAGTGGTGAGGATGAAATTTTCTCTAAAATTTGAAATATTAGTTCTAAGATAGGACATGTTCAAACAACCCTGACTTCCCAGAATACCATTGAAGTGTGTTCGTCCAACCCCCTCCTAAGATCAAAGAGAAAAACATTAGTATGCACCAAAGACTCACTAGCCTTAGACCAGTACACCTAATAAATATTCACCACCGAGTTAGATGTCCTCGGGAATAGGATCTTTTCCCCAAGACTCTATCGAGACTCTTTGGAAGAGAGGATAACACCCCACAAAACAAGCCTGAGCACTTAGATTGTTCTTTTGGTTATCTAAGGGCAGCCATAGGTTTCATTATCCATAGTCTTGACTTAGCTTTAGAGGAGCTCACTAGAAAGAGGACGCTGGGCAGGTACGAATAAAGTAACATGGGTTCGCCCAACCCTCTCCTAAAATCACAGAACTAGACACTAGTATGCACCAAAGACCCAATGGCCTTAAACCAGTACACCCAGAAAATATTTACCACCAATTTGGGTGTCCGAGGCTGACATGGAAACAGCATATAAATATTATGCAGGATGAGAAAGTTAAAAGCATTACTATATAGCAGGAAATACTCAAGAAGCTTCAGACTCAAATTAATGCCCATCTTTTCTCATGTTATGACATACTCAAGCTACTAATTACCTCATGATTAAAGTAAAATTATGCATACCTTCCTCTTCATCTCTTTAAGCATGTCTTCAAGCCCTGCTCGCTGAGCACCAAGAGTCTCCAATTGCCTCTGCAAAGATAATCACGTAAAATTGAAGAGAGTCTCTACACCATACAAAATGACAATAATAAAGGGGCAAACAACTGTGAACTGTGCAATTTCAACAATTTCTGCCAACCTATAAATCAAAAATCAGTTATTCTACCGATTTTTTAAAAAATTTTGATTTCCATGCATCTCAATTGTTTGATCCACTGAAGATATTATATAGTCCGTCCCAGAAAACTGATTATTGTACCAAAATTATAGATTCCCCAAAATTATTTGCTAATCATGCAGTTCATAACCTATAGAGGTTAAATTACCAAGCTCTGCTTCAAGGCTCCCACTATAGCATCTTCATTGGCATCCAAAGACAATATTGGCCTTGCCAGAGTTGGAAGAACAGATTCTATCTGCCAAGAGAGCAAGATGCACAGGTAAGGGTGCTTGAGAATTCAATATAGGGATAAAGAACGAAAAATAAAGCAGTCCACAACGCAAAAAGTTAAAAATCCAATGTCAGTCCCATACAACACAATAAATCAGCAGAGCTAAACAACTTTTTAACAGACCATTGTTTCTCAGTGACACGATGAGTTCCTAAACTTCACAAGTTTTCGCATAAAGATACATATTGCTAAGGCTCAAAAAAACTAGTCCCCATTACTTGGGGTTGGATATACCACTCACTTTCTGTCTTCCAAACCCATATATTGATGCACAAACTACCATATCTTCCTTAGTTATCAGGATCCACAATAGTTTTGGTATATGTCTCCCAGTCACGCTAATGTTAGTGCTAATCAAGTCACACCTTCTCAGCAGTGCAAATAGTTGTCTTTATAGCACATGGCCAAACCATTTTAGACAATTTCCTATCAATTTAATTTCAACAGGTGCTTCTCCAGTAATCTGAAGTGTGTGTTTGTTTAACTTTATACTTTCGTTTTTTACTCTGAGTCCTCCTCCACATCCACATTTCAACCACACTAATTTCATAAAAAGGTTGCTTCTCAGTTGCATAACATCCCATTCCATAAAGCATGGCCAGCCTTATTGATGTTTCATAAAATAGACTTTGGTAAGGTACGTGTTCCCACACCATAGACTTGAAACACCTCCACTTAATCCAACAAACATTAATTCCACGAGAATATCGTATTCCAGTTTCTCCCTTTCAATGAATAATGGGGCCCTAATAGCAAAATATATTCACTCTTGGGTCTTTTCCCTGACCTTCAATCTTCACTGCCTCCTTATTTGTATTTCTACTCATATTCCCAACATTTTCTGTTATTGCTGCCTACCTTTAATGTTTTTTTATCCTAGGCTTTTACCCAACCATTTAATATAGCAATAATCACTGCTTCGCTACCTATATTAACACAACTTCACCAGCAACATAGCATACATCATGGAACCTCACCGAATATGTTTAATGAATTTATTCTTACTCAGGATAAAAAAACATAAATAAATAATGATCCTTGACAAAACTCTATAGTAGTGAGAAACTACTTCTCATTACAATCATCTAATTCAAAACCAATTGACAATGAGTAGAAAAGCCCATTAAGCCGATATACTTTGGGAGATGTCATTACATCGATGCAGGACAAGCTTTAACACTCTCTACCAGCCTCACTCACAGGTAGAGAGATAAGAAAAAAAATCTAAAGACAGATTCACATACAATACTGATGTAGCTATGGCACAAAAAAACGAGGAACCAATTATCAAAGTAAAGAAATTAAGTTATTCTCAAACCCAATTTTGATACCATCTTAATATATCCAACTCAAAACCAATTGACAATGGGTTGATTGACTCCCCAACCATATAAACCCGACTTAGGTTTATCAAATTCTGCATGGAATACTAGCTCTCGTCAAACCTTCCTTCACATGCGACCCAAGCTTGCACTCTGACTTACAAACTGAACTGAGACACATAGAAAAGTAAACTGAGAAATTCAAATGGATCAAAAACTTTACACTAACCAAACAAGCCATTTATACTGGTATTCTTGTTTGTTTAACTTTATACTTGTATATATGTTCTATCATTTCAATGTAAGTATTTGCCAAAGTTTTACATGCACAACGATACATGTCTAAGAACTCTATCAAGTGATTCTTAAGTGTATAAAAATAAATAAAGATCTTTTTTTATCTTTCTATGCACTTCAATTTGTCTTAGCAGATAAATAGCTTCCATTGACCTTTCAAACATGAAACCAAACTTATTTTCAAACATTGATCTTTCATAAGTCATAGTTGTTGTGCAGTCACCATCTTCTCAAGCAAAATGAGAAATGCAGAAGACCAAGAAACTCTATACGGATCACAGTCCAGTAGAAAAAATTCAGGATGTCAACTAAGAAGCATGACAGTGCGAGTTCGAGTCAAATCCCACCTTCAATCACGCCTTATGCAATCCTCCAACCCCAACCCATAAGCAGGATCAACTATAGATAGTTTATCTGCTATGATGACATTAACATACATAAAATGATCCCCACAACACCACCAGAAATTTCCTATCAAAACGAGTTTATGAGCAATAACGAGGTATTCGGACAAAAATACAAATTCTCATTTTTCCCTTTTTTTATAAGAAACTTCAAAACTTCTACTTCATGTCCTTTAATGTAATAAATCTCTGAAGATAAATTGATGTTCAACTTGGACACACAAAGAAAGGCGTCCTAAAGCTGGTCCACAAGTTTCTAATCGGCAGCAAACCAGACAAGAATGCACAGAAATGATCTGTAACAACATACCGGACGTTGGTCAAGGATTGACATGAGAGCTGAATGTTCTCTCACTGAGCGCTCAATCCGGGCATCACTTTCTGCAGCTTGCTTCAGATTTGCTGCAAACCTATTTAACCTATCCTGCAAGTTCTTTGTTAAAGTAGTGGATTGGGGCCTACTCCACCGTGTCCCAAATTGGGTTCTAAACTGTGCATCTTCGGTTGCTTCCTTCTGCAAGAGTTCTTCCGTCTGGACCAGAAATTCCTGGTTTACCGTCCTCAATTCTCTAACTTGGTGAAGCTCACCTTCCAAACCTGCTGGGCCCCCGCAGATTTGCACAGCCTCTACCTCTTCTTTAAGATCTGATGGCAGAGTGAAATTACCTTCCAAAGCAATAATAGAATCAGGCAAATCCATCTCCTTAAGCCTCACTCGCGCAAGTTCACTCCCCTGTTGCAATTTTTCAGCTTGTGTTCTGATGATATCATCAACCATTTGAGTGTACCTGGAAAGAGCCTTTGCACTGCTGTCAGGAACAAGACTAGCAAACATCTTCTCCTTGCTTGGGTCCAAAACCTCAGTCATAGGCATGGATTTAACCATGGGAAATGCAGGAAGAGGAAGTAAAGAGCTGGCCTGAGGAACTCTCATAAGGTAAACTCTGTCATTCTCCTTCACAGCCCTCTCTAGATTACGATTTAGATTGGTCTCTAACTTACTAATTGCATCCAAAAGCTGCTGAGCAGCCCCCTTTGAGGAGAATTTCTTTGCCTCAGATAAAGCACTAACCCCACTCTTCAACCGAGCAATTTCTTCGGCAATCTCTTCTTTCTCATGGAGCTCTAAACCATACCTGTAGCAAGCCTCTGCATAGAACAAGGCCGCCTTCAACTGAACATGAGATAGCCAGGTTTTGTCAAAATGCTGGTTCAAAGGCGCTACATTCAATGCAGCCAAAGCTTCCTCATAGTACAGCCCAACCTGAAATTATGTCCATCTCAGAGCTAGTATCACATTTTGACTAAATTAAATCATTCAAAAATTATTCATTCCATTATCGTAGAGCATTTTTCACAATATAAACAAGTGCCACAGCTATGATAGTTCATGGGATACAATCATGTGTTCTGTACCAATGTAAAATACCATTTAATTCTTTAATGTTACCCCTTAGTTTACTTTTTTTTATTTGACTAATTTTCTGAATTCAGCAGCAGTTATGTTCAATATTCATATTTTCCCATGTTAAGTTTAGAGAATTACAAAATATTAGAGAGAAAGCAGAGAGTGGTTAAAAACTTAACCTACCTATCATACATCACTGTATTTATAATTAACTCACAATAATAAAAATTACACATACACTCTCTTGTATTTATATATACTACCCTAACACTCTTAACAATTTACATATACTACCCTAATACTCTTAACACCCCACAATGCACAACTTTTCTCAATGATTCTGCCACATAATCTCTTGTGCTACAGAATCTGCAACATATTCCTCAGATTCAATCAAAATCTCAAACTGATCTTTTATTCCTGTTAGTATAGAAATACATGATAAATACTATCTTTATTCCGTTTTGGCCATTCAAATTTTACTACAATTATAATCAATCTCATATTTGCCGTCAACATATACATAGTAGGTCACAAGTCTTCTAAACTTACACTCTCGTATTGTGACTTCGCGCTGCAATAACTTTTCCATAAGACCTATAACATAATTATAGTCCAATCCTGACATTCCCCAAGAGACAGAAGAAATGGTAAATGCTGACTGGGATCCAACATTATGTACAACTTTTACAACAATACATCATATTAATTCACAACAACTTCAACACAATTTTAATAGCTTGGATAAAAATTGCCAGTAGTTACAGGAGTGGAAACGTCCATATCATACTAAGTTCCATTGAACTAAACTTACTTATAAAACAATCCTTATTTTAAAATCACATTTTCCCTTAAACCCATACATATTATGATATAAATACATTAAATTTACAACTTTCCACAACAATTCCAAGAACCAATCGCATGCACCATAATATCAATAACACCTTTCTTAAAAGTTAACAGTATTCTCAGCAACCGAATTCCCCACAATTCATAAGCTGTAAATTACAAGTTCTACAGTTGCTAAGCACAACAGTGACATTCCGCACCAAAGCCACACATACTAGTTCAAAAATTCGAACACAATTCGAACACAAAATCAATTCTATGACTATACCAATAATGCATTTCTTAACTTCAATCAAAACAACAACTATTCACAAGCAGGAAACAAGCAATGAACCCCATAATAATCTCCACAAATCTCTCTCTAACATCTATCCTAGATAATCACATTTTGAAATGGCAAAAATTATGAATTGACACCATCTTACTACAATTCCAACTGGTGACCATACGTAACATAAAGTACACAACACATTTATCATAAATTAATCAGAACAACAACCAGTTAAGACCTACAATCAAACAACAAATCTAAAAGACACACAAACCTGTCTACAGATTTTAGCACAAACTCCCGGGGTACTCCCTTTCGCGATGGTACTCTCAAACACACACTCCTGAGCCTGAGCCAACATCAACCTCTCCAACATCCCAGCACACTCCACCGCCACATCCAACGTCGTTGAGCTTCCCATCGATGCCTTCACCGCCACATTATCCCTCAAAAACGCAAACGCCCCCGCCGCCGCCACGAAACTCTGCACCGCCTGCCTCCGACCCTCCACCGTAGACCTCTCCACACCCAATCCCATCTGACTATACACCGCCCCAAGATTAAACAACACCGCGGCTTTCTCCAAATGAATATTCTGCTGCGAAGCCTTTAGCTTGTTCTTAAAAGCGTCGTGCCACACAAACCTCACCGTATTGATGTGGTCTTTGTCGGGTGAGATTGGGAACCGAGACTCGACGCAGCAGAGGGCCCTGTAGTAATTTTGCAGCAAATCACGGCGAGAGGGGAGTGAGTCGGCTGGTTTTTCGAGATCAGAACGGTATTGTTTGAGGATTTGGAGATCATCTTCGAGGTTTTGGGCCTCGCGTTCGGAGTAATTGAAGACGATGTAGTTGCGGAGTGGGCGGTAGAGGTCAAGTGAGACCGTTTTCTTCTCGTAGATTGCCAGCATGATGTTGGTGGTGGTGCTCGCCGCCGATGACGACGGAGCTGCCATTGCTAGCGGTGAATTTGGTGGATCAGAAAGCTGAAAGAATCGAATTAGATCAACGGAGAGAGAGAGAGAGATGAATTTCAGATGTGTGCGTGTAAACTGTGCAGTGGTAACTGGTCAAGGGAGCTATGTCATTTCCATTCTATCTTGGTCGTTGTGTTTTGCGGGAATTTTCTTGCTTCTTTCTTTCTTTTATTTTTTAATTTTTTTTTTTAGGGAGAATCTTTGTACCATAAAAGTTTGGGAGAATCACGTTTTCTTACTAAATTACTCGGATTCTCTAATATTTAAAATATAAAATACTATATTCAAACCTCTTAATTTGTACACGCCACTTAAACCCGGTTATAATTATATTCATTAATAATTATTATATTTACACTCTCTGAAATTTTTTATAAATATATATTACTTAAACTTTTAAATTTAAAATATTATATTTCAATCAAAAATTGAATATTAATATTTTAAATTTTATAATTAAAATTCATATTCTATTGTATCATTTATTGAAATAAAATAAAAAATAAAATTCAAATTTTTCTTAAAAAATTATAATTGGTATATAATTATAATATCTATTAAAATAAAACTAAAAAATTAAATAAGGGGTCAAATTGTAATGAACATAACTTGTTTGATTTTTTTGTTTTATTCCAATAGATAGTATAATTATATATTAATTACAATTTTTTAAGAAAAAAATAAATTTTTATTTTTGATTTTATTTTAATAAATGATGCAATAAAACATAAATTTTGATTATAAAATTTAAAATATTTTATATTTTATATTTGATTGGAGTATTTTTTGCCTAAATAACATTTTAAATTTAAGAAGTCTAAGTATTATATGCGTACAAACTTCAAGAGGGTTTATGTGTAATTTATTAACAGATATATTTATAGCATGAATCTAAATGTTACGCGTGCACAAATTTTAGGGGGTCTATGTATAATATTTTAAATATTAGGGGTGTGAATAATTAAGTGACAAATTTTAGAGGGCCTGAATATAATTCTTCCTAAAAGTTTTAAATTCTTTTTTTTTCTATTATACCTTTAATATCATAAAATAATTATAATATGAGGTTCATACTAATATTCATTATTATTCCCGTCAAATCTTATTGCACAAGACAGGTGAATTTGACAAAAATAACAATGGAAATTATATTTTTATTACACCTATATAATAAAAGCATAACCCATTTTGAATTTTTTAACTTAACTTATCAGGGGAGTGGTTGAAATTTGCTCAATTCCATGACTTAAAATTATTACCAAAATTTTTATTTCCCACATTAGTCCATACTTTTCACACTAATCAAGGTTATTTTCCCCCTTAAATTTAAAAGTTCCACTTATTTACACTTTTTCACGTTAACAAAGGCCAAACAAAATTTTCGATCGCTTATCTCTTTCTTCTTTGTACCAAAAAATTTTTTAAGGTGGGACAAGATTAATTTTGAATTATGTAATTATAAAAAATGGAAAAAAAATAAATTATTATTTCATATATTTACAATACACAACTGATTTATTTGTATTATCCAACGTCTTTAAATACAAGTTATTGCTAATATATATATAGAATATATCGCTTTAAAAACTTTTTCATACTAAGAATTTTTTTTGAATTTATCGTTTTTGCACTTTAGCTCTCACCTCTGCTCTCGCAGCCTCGCTCTATGTGATTTAGGATATGAGAAAAAAAATAAAAGGTAGCGTATGAATTAATAAGGGTGTCTGACACTAAAAGACATGCAAATAAGATGATATGAATTTCAATACAATGAAACTCCTAACTCACTCTCTAATATTTTTATAAACAGTGAAGTACAATCAACAATGTCTATATCTGTAGATCATTCAGATTGGAAGAAACTATGGGCATCAAAACCTCCTTGAACATCACAAGCTAATCTTCTAGAGAATCGCTATTGAAAGTCTTCCAACAAAAATCCTATTGGCATCAAGAATGCAGATTGCAGATAGTCTGTATACCTTATGCCAGCAACATCAGGAGACAGATGCTCACTTATTTTTCCAATATCCTCTAGCTTGATCAATCTGTTTTAACAAATGGGGTCTTTGCACGGATGAATTCAATCACTTTAGTGTCTAAGAATGTGTTGGGTCTTTTGTGGAGTTTAGTTTGTGTGTGTTGATCCGAAAGATGACCCCGACCCAAAATAATATTGCGTGATTTTTAATGGAAAATTTTTTAGCCCAAGCCATAGCGCTCATGGACAAGCCTTGTGGGGGTTCGGGGGCCTGTTTTGTAGCCCGGTACGAGGGACATATAAAAAACGCTACTTTGTTGTTTAGGGTTTTATCGTAATTGAAAGCCGCCCTCTGTATTTCGCTCTCTCAATAGTGAAATCCCTGCAACTTCGTAGACGTAGGCAAATTGTCGAACTATATAAAATTTTGTGTTTTCTTCTTTCTTGTTTCTTATTACTTTATATTCTTGGTTTATTTTTCGATTGTGTGTGTTTGTCTGTAAGTTTAAAGCATGTTAAATCCCAATAGAATGGGTGCATGGCATTCTAAATCCAGCTTCTATCTTTAGTCTAATTTCCATCATCATTCTACTTTCAGCCTTTTTGCTATAATCCTTGTCTCTACAATCTGGAACTTGAAGAATAAGTCCTTGTTCAGAGGGAATCAAATCAACCAGCAAGAAATTCTATTAGAGGTAAACCAAAGTTTTGCAGAATTCAATGATACTCTTCTCCAGCCAAAGTTCCATCAGTTTTCTCCAAAACCATTACAATCTTCTAGTGGGCTCTTCCTCAAGAAGGTGGACTCAAGGCCAATGTTGATGTTGCATTAGCATCAACATCAAGATTGGCAGCAATGTGGGCAAATTCAAAAATTAGAACTATGTGGTAATTGAGAGTGATTTCCAGACCGTGGTTCATTCATCCTTGCTTAACCATGTACAGGGAAATTGGTACATAATACCAATTATCCAAGACATCAAGACGATCCTATTGCAAGACACTTACTGGAGCATGAATCATTCTTACAAATCTTCCAATACAGCAGCTCATTTTTATTTTTATTTTTTTCTTGGAAAAAAAGGAATGGGACAAAGGAAAACGTCCAGAGTTTTCATTGATAGGATCATAAGGTCACTAATCTCGCTTGTTATACCTCTCAAGAACGAACCTAGTTAGGTTAGTATAGTAATTAACCACCAAACTCTAATGTAAACTCCAAAATTCGAACCTTCAATTTTAAAATGAGAAGTTCGATCAGTATCTTATTATATCACCCCACTCGGTGGTTCAAATTTAGCTAGATGACGACTAAGGATAAAGTATACATACACCTTACACGGAGATGGTCTCTCAAGTAGTATTACTTAGCTTTAATTAATATTATGTTTTTTCATTTACTTTCCTTTCCTTGTATCTCAACTTTTACAAACAAAAAAAAAAAAACAACAACAAAATAGAACTTTCATATTCGATCTTAAATTTCACTTACTAAGAAACAAAGAATCAACCCTGACACTAAAATAGCTCGTACAACTTAATTTTGTTATAAAAAGAGACAAATATAAACAAATTTCGCAACAGTCCAATCCTCAGTAGGACTAGGGGTGTTCAAATTTTTGATTGGCCGTAATTTTCTATCCTACCCGACTCTACCAAGGGCGGAGCTACTTGAGGACCAGGGGGCACGTGCCCACTCTCAATTTTTTAAAAAAATATTATTTATGTATATTTTAAATAATTTGAAGTATATTTAAATGTACCCATTCTATCATTTTTTGTTCTATCAATTAATATAATCCCCGTACCTAAATAATTATGAATTTTTTAACACATTTTGGATGCTTTAGGAATACATCCATATAAGTTTTTGACATGTCGAACTCATTTTTTTTAAGCTATAAAGATTCAAATTAAAAAAACAAAAAACTATACAAATTATAGCAACTAGGTTATTTAATTAAATGAGTGATCAATGACTATTAGTTTGATCATATATATGGAAAAATATTATAATATCTCTTTTGCAATTTGTTTCATTTGTTATGAATGGGTATAATTAGCCTCTCTTTTTTGTTTGCTTTTACTTATGTATGTTATATTTATCAAAGTTCCACCCTTTTCATATTTTATAAATTTTTAATTATCGAATACAATATATTATTTTATTTTTATTGATTAGAAGAAAAAAAATTAAAATTTTTTAGTAAAGTGCCCACCCTAAATATAATTTCTGGCTCCACCCCAGGACCCTACCCTACTGAACAGTTAGCCGCAAAAATCATGTAGGAATGCGGAAGAGTTTTTGGTCTTCCGATTAAATAGGGTAAGAATGCAAAATAACTATTCATTTTCGCATTTCTACCCTACCCTACCCCATTAATTAATTAATTTATATATATATATATATATATATATATAATAAAATAACTTACAATTCAGATCTCAAAAACTAAATAAATGACTTTTGCTATTCGCGGTTGAGATCGTTTTAAATTTTACTTTAAAATTAATCTAACGGTTAATATTAACACCCTAAATTTAATAGGAAAAATATGACTTTAAATGTGTGTTTGGAGTGATTTTTAAAAGTACTTCTAGAAATTATTTTTCATAAATATTTAAAAAAAAATTATGTTTGAAACTGCCCCACCACTACCTCTACCACCACCGCCACTGTTACTACCACCGTCACTGTCGCGCGCCGCCGCCGCCGCCGCCGCCACCACCCGCCACTCCCACCGCCGCCACTACGACCATCATCACGGTCGCTCTCGCCGCCACCACGGTCATTGCCACCCACCACAACCATCATTGTCTCCTACCACCACCACTGTCGCCTACCATCTCTCACCCCCACTACAATCGATGTTTAAATTTCTTTATCTCTTATTTCTTCCTTATGTTTATGATTTAATTTTGAATATGAATACAAATATGTTTCTTGTTTACTATTTTTTATTACTCTATGCCTTCGGACACAGGCAATAACTAATATATATAATAAAATAACTTACAATTCAAATCTCAAAAGATAAACAAAATAATTTTTGCTATTCGCGGTTAAGATTGCTTTAAATTTTACTTTAAACTTAATCCAACAGCTAATATTAACACCCTAAATTTAATAGAAAAAAAAAGTCTCTAAGAGTGTTTGGAGTGACTTTTTAAAAATATTTCTAGAAATTATTTCTTATAAGTATTATAAAATAAATAGTGTTTGAAACCGCCCTGTCATTACCTCTACCACCACCACCGTCGCCGCCACCACTACCACCATCGCCACCACTGTCATCGCCACCACCACCACCATCGCCGCCACCATTGCCACCGCCACCATCACCACCACCACTGTCATTACCACCCACCACAACCATCACCATCTCCTACCACCACCATTGTCGCCCACCACCTCTCACCCCTACTATACACTGATACTTAAATTCATTTATCTCTCCTCTATGTTTGTAATTTGATTTTAAATATGAATACAAATATGTTTATTGTTTATCATTTTTTATTACTCTGTGCCTTCAAGCACAGGTAATAACTAGTATATATATATAAACTAAAAAAACCCTAATCGTCTACTGAGTCCCGAAAACGCCTCACAAGTCACACCTCACTCCACTACTCCTCCTTCATCGTTCAATCCGATTCCCAAGTACTCTTTCTCTCTTTCTCTTTGTGCAATCTGGTGTGGTCTAGCTTGGAAGTTTTGATCGCAGACCTTCATCTACAATAACTGATCTGTGTTTGATCTGGTCATTTGTCTACAATAACAGATCTGTGCTCTCTCTCTCTCTGTGCGACCTTGCTTCCTCACAAATCGTTTGGTCTGAGTCACGATGGCCTGGTCTAAGTTGTAGATCAATGGGTTTTTATCCTATGTTGCAGAACACGATGGCCTGATCTTTTTTCCTATTTTGCAAATGAATGGATTTTTTATCTACTTTTACTAGTTTCTTTTTTTGCATTTCTGGATCCATGAAATTGTTTTTCTTTTGATTTGTTATTCATGAGATCTTAGTTAATCATATGGGTGTAGTGATGATATATAATATTTCATGTATATTTTGTAAAAATCTATGATGTTAAAGGAAATTGTAAACAAATGGATATTTCATGTATATTTTGTAAACAAATGGAGTTTATTGAACTTTTATTATTATCAGGAAGTTGGCTGAGCATGGGTACCACCGAACTTTTATTCTGATATGTATTTCCAACTTTCTAGATGTTTATTTTTTGACAAGTTTATACTTTTTCTTATTGGGATGATGCGTATCGAATACATGACACTAACTTTGCTCAAGATGTTTACAGTTTTAATATATCTTGCTCTTGAGTGAATCCAGGTAAATGACACTAGCAAAAAAAGTGTTATTTAACTTTTTTATATATTTTTTAATAATTATAAGAGTATTTGTGTAGTATAATTTATATTATACCATTGTTATTGTTATGGATGTTTGAGTTGCTAAAACATGAATTTGTTTTTTGTGTAGGTTATATAATTTGTGGTGAACTATCACAGGCGAAACAATTTTGATTTTAATGTATTTCATATAGTTTAAACTTAAAATAATTTTTATTATATTTGTGTAACAATTATGGTAGATTGATGTTCATATTTTCTTGTATTTTATTATAATTGTTGTTGTATTTGTTTTAGATTTTAGTGTTATTGATTTATTATGTTGTTAAATTGGTGGATATTATTTAATTAAATTATTAAAATGATCTAAAAATTAATAACTACAAAAGTATTTGCCTGAATAGGAAGTCGGGTAGAAATACCACACCTAGTCGAGTAGGAATACCACACCTGATCGGGTAGGGTAAGTCAAAAAAAAACTCTTTCAGTAAAATATCGGGTAGGAAGACGAAAGAATATATTTCCTATCCGTAAGATAAGGTGAATACTCGTATGTCATAAACCCAAATCCATTATTACCCATTAATACCCTTTTATTAAAAAACAATAAACTCAAAAAAAATATTGAAAAAACATTTAAAAATTTAAATCCGCACAACTAGAAGGCTAAAACAAAAATAAATCCAAAAACTAAAGACTTCTGATCAACACAGATACAAAAATTCTCAACATGCAGAATCAACATATCACAAACTGATGAATCGCTAAAAATTTCATGGCCTAAGTCCAATCTTACAAAACACACACCAAAGACTAATGAAACAAACTTAACACTGCAAAAACTCGCTAAAAATTTGGGATCTATTGGTGGAAGAATACAAAGGAATCAAAACGTATGAATTGGTGGAAGAAGACAAATGAATATTCATAAACACATGATGGGTCTCAGCTTGAGTGGAGTGATGCTCCATTATATTTATGCTAATGAGTAGGTTTAATGGAGGATTTGGTGGAAGACTTCCACATCTGCATTGTGACAATGGCAAAAACTAGGAAGCTGGGTCAATGCACCAACCTTGGCATTGATGGGTCTTGAGGAAAGACAACAGAATATTCATGGTGGGTCTCAGTTTCCCCCTATGTTCATTACTACGTTCCCTCCCACGTCGGACATTCGAAATCTGAAGGTAGATGAGATAATCTGCAGAGATAAAGAAGAGGAGGAGAGCGATAGCGATGGAGCAGATTTCTTTTGAAGGGGTAGTTTTGTCATTAAAAAATCTTTAAAACTAACTTAAAAAAGACAGAGCCTGAACCTAATAACAATAAAAAACATGAGAATGTACTTTCGGATAATTCTTACTTATATTAGTTTCGTCTGGTAAGAAATAGGTGATGAAAAGTGAAAAATATAAAAAATAAAATATATTTTCATGCGTACGTTCGGTTAGCATGAAAAATTTTTAAGAATATTTTAAAATAATTATATTTTATTGTTTAAAAGAAAGAAAGTTATAAGAAATTTTTTCTAATTATCTAAATTATTCTTGATTATTTTAACTTGGTTTAAAGAAGAAAAAAATATTTTTTATTATTCAAATTTTTAAAAAATTAACTCCTAACCTAATTCAGGGACAAGGATCGACTAAAATGCTAATCTCTAGACTAAATTATATGATTAACTTAATTTGTAAAAAAAAAAATTTAAATTAATAGTTAATTAAATATTTTATAAAAAATAAGGGTAAAATAAAGAAGTTGGTTATTAAACACAACTTTCTTACTTTTTCTTGTGTTTTTTGCAAGAAAAAAAAATTAGATAAACATGAGAAAATCTAAAAATAGAGGAAATTTATTTTTTCTATCATTTTTTATTTCATACTAAACAAACACGTGTAAAATTTTAAAATTTCTCTTTTTTGTATTTTCTAACATTATCTTGCTAAATAAATAGACCCTTAATTTATCTCATTTAATAATTAATCTTAATAAAAAGTGTCAATTGCAACAAAGTATATAGTTCAAAGAATAAATTAGAATTAATAAAATTTGAAAAAATTTCAACCACACCCCTTCTAGTTTATCATATCTTCAAGGACACCTCTTCTAGTTTCTGAATCTTCAATAACACTCCCTGTCAGATTAAAAATATTAAGTAAAATACAATTTTACTAAATTGTCCATGATATATTTGAATACAAACTTCATTCACATCCCTTCTAGATAAATATATCTTCAATGAAACTCCATCTGTTTTTTAATTTTTTTATTTAATTAAATTTGAACCGATTAAAATTCGATTCAAGCTAATTAAAATTTATTTTTTTACATATTAAAATTTGTGCCAATTAAAAATTATATTTTTTTCTATGTATTAGAATTTTGACTAATTAAAATTTTGTTTGAGACAATTAAAAATTATTTTTAATTGACTCAAATCAAATTTTAATTAATTCGCATTGAATTTTAATCAAATCAAATTTTAATATATAAAAATATATGAATTTTAATTGACTTAAATTTTAATAAATCTAATTTTAATTGACACGAATTTTAATAAGTAAAAAAATATAAATTTTAATCGACTCGAAAGAAAATTTTAATCGGCGCTAACAATTCGGGTAGAGTTTAAATCAACTCAAATTTTAATATATAAAAAAAACTTTTAATAGGCTCAATTTTTTTTTATATATTTACGAATTAGTAAATAAAAAATTAGTATTTACTAACAAATTATTTACTAAAATTGTTATTTATGATTTTTTTAAAATTTTAATAGCTCAAATTTTAATAAAATTTTATGTAAAAAAATTACTTAAGGTTATGTAAGGGTATTTTTGGTATTTTAGATGAATTTTTTTTTTGTTAGAAATAGTAGTTTGATGGTAGGAGGTGTTAGTGATGTTTAAATTAAATTAAAAGAAGTGTCATTAAAGATTCAAAAATTAGAGGAAGTGTTCTTAAAAATATGAAAAACTGGACGAGTGTCGTTGAAATTTTTCTTTCAAATTTTAGGGGACAATTGGGGATTTATGAGATTTACCGAACAATAGAACGCGTTGGCGTGCGGAGTCGTGTACGCGTCTATATATAGAGGCAATACGTACGCCTCGCCGAACTCTCTAGAGAGAAGCTGCTGTGAGAAAGTCAAGCCCTCCTCTCCTGTGGGTTCTCTCTCTCTCTCTCGCAGGTATGTTTTTCCAATTATGTGATTTCAATCGTTTGTTTTTCGTTTTCCTATCCGGTATGTCTATGGTTTTTTCAAGATAACATAAGTTTTCTAGGGTTCAAAATCTGGACTTTTGTGTTTTCTTACCCCCCGGATTATGTCCAGGGTTTGTTCAAGATTAGAGTTGTTTTCTTGAATTGAAAATCTGTTCTTTTTATTCTCCGTCGAAGCAAACGTTGGCCTGGTGAATTCTTTCTTTCTGTATTAGGGTTTAGTTGTGTTTTTGTTTTGGACAATTTCATTGAATCTTGATTTCTAGGGTTCTGGGTATGATTAGGTTATTGTATTAAGGGATGCAACTTGGACAATTACGTTGTTTATTGGGTTTAGTGTTTTTTATTCATGTGTTGATGGGACACTAGATTACGTTGTTTATTGGTGAATTCTTTCTTTCTGTATTACGTTGTTTATTGGGTTTAGTGTTTATTATTCATATGTTGATGGGACACTAGATGACTTTGTTTTGTGTTTTTATTATGTTCAGATTCTCGTTGGTAGTGCTGGAACAAAAGGGCTTTTGAAAGTTTGGATTGACAAGGCGGCCTTGCCTTGGATTGGTTTTTATTGTATAAGGTAAGAAACCCGACTCTAAATTTTGTACTTGTGTTGCTTTTTGGAAAATAATTGAGAAATCCGACTCTCGATACAATTGGAAAAAAGTTGTGTCATGTAGTTCAGTATCTGTCTGTAAATTCATGTTGATGGATGTGGTTGAGTACTGAAGTTCTATCTAAGATTTTTGTTCATGGGAACTCATCCTAGGATCTAAAATACTGGGAGGGATTTTGATGTGTGAATATTTTTTGCTTTGGATCTTACTCTCAGTGTTTCTGTTATTTCATGATGTCTACTGGAGGATATGGTGACAGGGAGAGAGCGTTGAGTAGCAAAGATGATAGGTGGTTGAGCTTGAATGTTTGACACTTTAGGCCTTATATTTGTAGATTTCCATATTTTGTTTTTTGACATCAAATATATGTGCTTCATCATTATAAAAGTGTTACTTATGGGAAAAAAATATAGGAGTGCCAGTTTTTTCCTGTTAATGAATAAGAAATTGGAGGATTTTTTGTTGGCTGATGGTGTCTAACAGGGGTTACAGCCCCCGACCCCTGAGAGAGCTAAATGGCTATGATGTACTGTTTTTGATGTCAAAAATAATGAACTACATATTTGAGAATTTAGTTCTCGGGAAATGAATTGTTGCTTATGCTTTGCTGTTCATTCACCACACTGTCGAAATTCACTGCCAAGCGCAGCGACTGAACTTGTATTCAGTGATCTCTGTGTTTGTGTGTGTGTGTGAATCTTACACTAGCATTGAAGTTCTTATATTTGAAACTTAGCAATCTTGACAACCACCATTCTGCTGCACGCTTGTGTACTTGGGCAGATTGTCTAGAGGAAAAAAATAAGAGAAATGGGTTTTGGACATAGTTATTACACCAAGTTCGGAATCAACCCGGCAGGCAAACAGACAGAGCTTAGGTCAACTGTTGGATCAATTGGGCGGGTCAATTATATAATTAAAAACAAAAAATATTTATTAACAATAATGAATATTCTAAAAAACTATGGTATTTATTAAAATAACAGGTTTTATGTATAGTAGATCAACTAGTAGTTGTTGGTAATCCACTTCAAATACTGCCACATACACCTGGTCCTAAACAATAACGCATAGTAACTTCAAAACTATATATCCAAAGTTATCAAGCCTTGGTCTTGATTTGCCCACTCTTTGCAGTAAATTACGACTGTACAACCCACATATATATAATGGACAACTACTACTCTCAAAGTTTTGATCATGCCACAATAAACAAGCGAAAAGGTCACAATCTGCGAATCTAACCAATTGCTGAACCCACTGCCATGACAATTACATGAAGAGCAAAACTTTGCATCAAAGCTCTTATTTTCACAAAAACACAAATCCCATAACTAGAATTGATAATTAAACAACTCAAGGTTCAAGAACAAGTTGTTATGTATGTGGCTAAGGGATATTCAGGTAGAAAGATTGAATTCTATCATTTGCTGCCTCCGAAATCCCTAGTTTTCTAGATTAAATTCCAACCATAGAAAACGAAGCCCAAATGAAAAATATCCTAAAACCCATAAGCACAAGTAACACAAGTTATTATAATATATAATGATGTGATAATTTCGGACCATTATGAGGTAAGAGAGATAAAGAGTGACAAGGTGCAACCATGAAAGAGGTGAGAGAAATTACCTGCCGCCAGATGCTTTTTTGTGAGTGGGGGAGAGAGGTGAGAGCCTGAGGCCATGAGCTGAGAGCTTAAGAAGCAATTCAATGGTGATATTGCAACACATATTATGAGTGTGAAACAAAAAGAGCTGAGGGATGAGATAAAACCACACAGATGATGGTGAGATTGGGAGATCACATAGAGAGATGGTGATCTGGTTTGGTGAGAAGACAGATATGAGATGATTGTGAGAAGATGAAATCAAAATTGCATATAGAGGCGAAAGCCGGACCGTGAGAGTTGAATTGAGATTAGGGCCAAAAATATCTTGTTTTTATAGGATATCATCAACCTGTCCAGATTTGAGTTTGGAAGCCAGCCCTGTTTAAGCCAGGTCTAACGGGTTGCCGGGTTGGCCCGCTGGGCCAGTCCAAATGACACTGGTTTTGAATACCACTATGTAGTTTATGATATCTTTAACCAAAGGAAAGTTATCCTTGCCTGGAACAAGGCTGAGTTTCTATTTGTACCCTTACTTCATCATGTGCAGTCACTTTGATTATTTTCTGTTCCACATTACTGGGCTCATGATAGAGGGACGAATTTGAAACAATTTTAAAACACTAGTGTTTTTATTTGTCATAATTGAAACTATTGGACCACATTGACACCGGCTGTAATATTTGGGGACCAACAACCTCATTTTCTCGGTTGCTGTAATTTTTTATCTTCATGTTGTTAGGGTTTCGATTTTGGTTTACGTTGGTCATTAGCATGGTATTTGATAGACAAAATAGTGGAACGTTGTGCTTGTTATGCTACATTATTTTTCATCTTTTCGCATTGGGAAATCGATGGTGGAAGAACTAACATTATTTCCTTCTCTTTTTTGAGATGTACTTTTGGTCATCATCATACCAAAATGCAGATATTGAGTTGGATTTTACCCTCAAATGGACGCCAAGAAGTTCATGCAGTTGGTTGAGGACAAAAAGAAGAGAGTTTTGGAGAAGAAGCAAGCCCCCTTGAAATGGGAGCAGAAGCTTGAAGCTGCTGCCAAAGCAAAAGCTGATGCTGAAGCCAAAGAGAGGAAGGCAAAGGCTGCAAAGCATAAGAGAAGATCTGTGACAGGGTCTGATAGTGACAGTGATAGTGACAGCGGTGATGAGAGGAGAAAGTCCAGTAAAAGGACTCACAAAAAGCATAGGAAACACAGCCACTCTGACTCAGGTGATGAGAAAAGGAAGGACAAGAAATCCAAGAGAAAACCAAAGAGACGATCGGCCAGTTTAAGTGATGGTGACGCCGACAAAGATGAAAGTTGCTCAGAAGAGGAGAGGAGGAAGAAGCGAGGCCACAAGAAGCGTAGGCATCATGATTCAAGCTCAGACTCAGACTCTAGTGCTTCAGACTCTTCAAGTGATGAGAATGATGGTGCAGTCAGAAGAAAAAGTCACGCAAAGCATCATAAACGTCATAGGAGATCAGATTCTAGTGATTCAGATTCTTCAAGTGATGAGGATACAGGAAAAAGGAAGAGTCACGGAAAGTACCACAGACGGCATCGACGATCTCATAGTCATGACTTGAAGTTTGATTCTGATGACCACAGATGTGATAGGAGGAGCCAATCTTTGGGAAAGTCATCCGATGACAACAATGAAGAATCAGGTAGAGGACAAAGAAACGGTCATCATCAACATCATGGCCATCGTCACCACCATCATCAGCACAGGCATAGGCGTCACCACTCCCATGAGCCAGCCCAGCAGGTACCTGAACCAAATGGAAACCTCTCAGCTGTTGCTCCTCGAGAGGTAAATGTGAGTTACAGTGGTGGAGCTCATCAAATTCAAAATGCTTAGGTAGGTTTTTAAGGGATGCTGATCAACTTACTGGACCGGACCTCTTTATTCCATTTGTGTTGATTTGTCTTGCATGTGGAGAACTGATTTTTGTTGGAAACTATCAACACTTGTTTAAGCTTCTTGGAACTTTCTTAGTGGTGGAATGTCCAATTATGTTTTCAGATCAAATTAGGCTGTCCAATGTCGCGATTTCCATGGCTCTGTTGCGTTATAAATTTTCGCTGTATCACAACTACAGCAGGTGAGATTGGCACTGTCAAAGTGAAACCCTTGACCCTATTGGTTTGAGTAGAGACAACTTGTTGCCCATCATGCTTGAGTGCAGTCTTTGGGTGTTGATACGCAAACTCATGATTAGGCCATAGTTTTACAGGTTATGATATGGTGATGGTTATGACTAGCTCCTTGAATTCAAGTCGACGTATGGGAAGTTTCCATACTCTTCATCGAAAATTGGTCTTTTGTGAGGAACCCAAAATTCGAGGACTAGGTAGGAGAAAATTTCCAATTATGCATCTTCCGGCTTTTATTATCCAGTTCGGAAGCTCATGGTGCCAAATTTTCAAGCAGGTAGATATCTTCTGCTCTGCATATAAAGTCAGAAATTGGCTTGGTGTCTGTTTCTCCACAAATTATATAACGCTAACCTAAAATCAACCACTTGGAGAACGCGGAGCCCTTTCTCAGTCGTCTGTCTTAATAAGTGAATTCTAATTCATGCGGGGAATTAGTATATGAGTCTTAGAATATCCCCGCTGAAACACTGCCGTGTGTACCTTGTGTTGTTTAATTATACGGAACATGATAGCAATATAAAAGAACTTCCTAAATTCTGCGGTTTATATCAAGAACAGTTCTTCATAAGTTGAATTGATAGAACTTAAGTTTCTGTACACTGGACTTCAGTCATTACAATGACCTAATTGCTGCGCCACTTCATATTGTAGATCATTCTAAAAACTACATCAGTACATTTGTGAGATGGAACTATGGAGTTTGAAAGTGAAGGAAACTACTGCTGTGATGTTCCTTTTTAGTGTTCAAAATGGGTCATTTTTATTGTCTGAGATAGACACAGAGAACACAGTACAATGTATTCTTGAAACCCAACATGATAACCAGAATATAACTGAAGGAAACTTGGGAAAATACATGTCACAATGTTGTACCAAAGCCATTCCACACCCTAAAGCACATGATGGCCAGAAACTACCACCTGGAAAAGGTGGAAAACCTCGTTGGATTCTTCAGTCTGAACAGTATATGTAACATAACCAGAACATATTTATATGCTGAAATGATAGCATGAAATGCATAAGGTGATGCGTCACACCAATTGGATTAAGATGAAAATGGCCAATACATAACAACAAAAGATAAAGGATTACCCCATGGTTTAACTTGACAGTTGTATTAGATAACTAGCTTGAGCCCCCTTCCTTCACCTGATCAGAAATGAACTTAAATATGGAGAATGAACACAATTGGACCTCTTCTGATTCAGGGAGTTTTCGTGTCCTATGTTAGCATGTTTACCTCCTGTTCTGATTGAGGCTGAGACATGCTCGAAAATGATTTAGCTGCTGGAATCAGCTGTGACTAACAATTCCAACCCAGAAACTGCAAAATTGGTTTTATTTCATAACCCAAGCTGAGATAATAGACACTCAACAGCTTGGAAAGAATGAATCTTAGCAACTGTTCCTAAAACAATGATACAACACCCAGAACCAATCGATTGTTATCAGAAGTTCTTCAAAATCTTCTGACTTGAGACTCCATTGGCCACAAGAACAGAAGTAACCTCCTGCAGGCAACAGTCATCCAAATTTCAATATTTACAAATATGATCCTTAACCTCTTCAAAAGAGAAATTTAAAAATGAAAAACAAAGATAGTCATTTCAATGCCAAGTCATCAAAACAAATATAACTCACCTTGTGTGTGTGTGTGTGTGTGTGTGTGTGTGATGCGAGAGAGAGAGAGAGAGAGAGAGGGCTATACAAGTAACAACTCATTTCATAACAAAATTTGGCACAAAGGTTGTCACTTGTCACCCTAACAATATTTCAAAACACTATCTATCCCAATTCTACATAAACTAAAGGTATGAAAGAACTACACGAGCAATGTTGCTAGCAGGAAGCAGCTCCTCCCGTAAATGAAATGCAGTGATGTTCACAACATCACTTAAAAAAACTCTGCTAACATTCTTACCGCGAAGGGTGCAAGATGAAGCACAAGACGATCAAAAGCAACAAGACAATTGTCAAATAGAATCTAATAACTTGGTTCTACTGTACTGTAGCTTAGTAGGCCTAAAGTCCTAAGCAGGGGGAACCAAGACTGACAGAAAGCCCATGGATGTCTGAAAAGGTTGAAGCTTTGAAAGGAGGGGGAAGGGGAGGGGAGGGGAGGCGATAAAGTGATTCCAGTTGTTCTGCTAGTGCAGTTACATATTTTAAACCAGGAAATCTACCAAAGCTTTGAATAGTTAACCACCTAATTAGATGGTTTCTTGGACAATATAATGGTGAGCATCAGTTGTAACCACTAAATTGTGTTGGTTCATCTACACCTTATTGGCCAGGAACAGTGATAGGAACACTGTTTTCCCAGAACATGTAAGAACCATTGCATTATTGCTGCCCGTCACACTATGACCCGCAGATCTTGTCATAATGGAAACCAAGCATAATCATCACCAATCAAAAGCCTAATCAACAAAAAGGGCGTACACTACTCACAATATTTTAATCGGCTTGACTAAGATGATTGATTTTAGCGGGCTCCATTGACGTGTTTTATCTGGATTAGTTTGGGAGGGGACTGGATTGAATCTTGGATAGCCCATGGATAGTCCATTCCCATATTTGTTTCAGTGCACTCATGATCATAGAATAAAATTAATCTTCCTAAGAATGTCGTACACACTACACAGGTTCTATGAAGGAAGGGGAAGGGGAAGGGGAAGGTGGAGAGAAGGAGAGAGAGAATGTATTGGTTGAATATTAGTCATGCTTATTTAGATTACAAACTTGATTATCGTTATATGCATGGGACTGGACCAAGAACAATCCCCTCACCCCACGCGGGACATGACATGTGTATAGTGGATCCAGTTTGATTTTTTTTCCAGGTCCCGACTCCAAAATTGAACAAAACATGGGACAACGGCAGATATCCGGATGCATGGGATAACCTGCTGAATTCCCCCAAAACAAACATGCCCTCTCAAAAGAAATTTATCTATTTCAAAGAACATTAGATTATGACCGGAGGGTCCTTAGTTTGTTCCTTCTAACAAATCCCCATAGAATGTGGCCACATTGCAAACCAAGATAAAATGCAAGCCAACTAAGGTTTCCTTCTACTACTGCCTTGGATAAGAATCTCACTCAAGATGATGAAATTGCCACTAGCTGTATGATCAACCTATCTACTCAAGCTTTCTAGTAAAGGTGTACGGAATATCAGTCCTGCATGAAATAAACAAACGAAGCTTGCTTACCACTTGAAGCAAGTTAATTTTCAAACTAGGTCGCATTTTGATGCTTGTTAATCATATCAAGACCTACTCACATTTTGATAAGCTAATGAACATCCTAATACTATAAAAAAACATAACCCTCAAGCTGGATCAAGATTGACTTGATTAGAAGCTTGCTTGAGACCATTTTTGAGAAATGAGCCCAGGAACTGGTAATTCTACAAGAAAGCCTAAAAAATCCACCAACCTGCTCTGCTCCTTTCAGACTTATTGTTATATCTTGTCAAATAGGTGAGTCCAAGTCAGAACCTAAAGTAACCTTGTATCATCTTACACCTTAATCGTTACTCTTCTCCCTCTCTTGTAGATCATAAATCTATCCCTATGAATTAGTTTTTTTCCCTTACAAAATGCCAAATCTTTCCATCCCAATGTATTATTCATTTAAATGATTATGTATATAGCTCATTTACCATGTAAAAAATTATAAGATAGTAAACCCACCTACGAGTTCAACACATCGCAATAATCTAAAAGTTGTCACACATGACAAGTCCATAAGATGACTGGCGGCACCACAACAGCACATGGATTAAGAAACAAATAAATCCATAAGACATTTAATTTAGCGTTCCTCAACTTGTGGGTAATATTGATTATATCAAGCAATTGGTACAAAAGAAAATTAAAGAAAATTAAAGAAAAAATTTTTGTAGTAAGACACTAACATGAAGAATTAGCATTATGGTGTTTTCAAAAATAAATTAGGAACATGGACAATTGGGATTAAGGATATTACTTTAATAGTATAATGTTTTGTTAAAATATAAAGAAAGCAAGTTGCATTATTACAAACAAAATGAGGATAGATATAAGAAGATTATAAAGATTAATAGCATGCAAAGGAGACAAGAAAACCAAAGCCAGACCAAAGGAAAAGAGAGAAGGAGAAAGAAAGAAAGCTATCACAATTGCTCCAAACCAGCAACTAAGACCGCAGTTGGTTGGTCATTGTTCGTCCTAAAATAGAAATTATTTTCATTTTTTTCTACAATAATGGACTTTCATTTGTGAATGAAGTTAGACGACACAGTTCTTATTACTATTGACTTCAAAAAGAGTTGTCATATCTCAGTAATGGGGTCTGTTGATTCGGAATCACACACTGTACAAGCCTTTATTAGAGACTCATTAAGGACCCTAATTGTAACAATAAACATAAAAATATGATAATGATAAATATTTACCTGCATATCACACTAATTCAATCCTTGATCAAAGCAAACATAATAAATACTGCACTTGTGTGGACAAAACCATTAAGTAATGCATATAGTGACTGGCAAAAGCCCAACATTAAGGTACAGATTCCAAATAACCTAGCAACCAGAAGTACCTTGGAAACACTATTTAAATGTCGTGGGGGCTCACAATGTTTGCTTTTGGCTTCTGAAGTTAATAATCTGTGCGGAGACAATCAGTGGACACAATATAATAATAATACATCTTTCCAATCATAACCCAACACTTGTTGGGACCTCACATGCTTGGGGGCTTTAGTTATAAGGAGAGTAGTCTTTTTTGGTTATGTGTGTAGTCATCATACGGTTAAGCCCATCCAATGCATACCATCATGATAACTTTTTCCAGGACCTCTTTATACTAGGGCCGTTAAGCAGTGATAAATGTGTATCTTCATATGACTCGAGTTTTCATTCCTTCAGGCAGCTTGCATCATAATCTTTCCAAAGACATCCAAACCAAAAGCAATTTCCAAAAATACAAGCTATACTCTAAATCCCAAACTCGATCATCAATAGCCAACAAGATGTGGATGTGCCAGATTTTGAGCAAACTGCATTTTGCACTCTTACATTGAGTTCCTTTACAGGGAAAAAAAAATTCTTCTACAGTCTAGCGGCTAGGCAAGCTGACAAATTGGAATTTCAGAAGATGATAAAATAAACCAACAACAACATATCCCAAAAAGAACACAACAACAACAAAAGCAAAGAAAAACATGGAAAAAACCAGAATGATATATGGTTTGTTTCAAGTACTGTGAAACATGCAAAAAACCATCAAGAACAAAACTATGAAGGACCATGTTTAAGAATGGAAACCTGAAACTAAACAGAGACACTTACTGGAAAATAACCCGAGGATGTTTAGTCAAGAGTATAAGCTATCAAAAGAATCAATAACAGTAGAAAATTTACAAACCTCAGCCATCTGTTTCTGTCCGCAAAGCACAGCACCAGTGGATTGAGGGCAATAAATTCTTTTGGCCCTAGAGAAAGCAGCCTGCAAAAGCAATGTTGTCAGTATATCTTAAGTAGATTGGAGGCAGTGTCACAACATCCAATAGCTTAAAAGACATGCAAGCACATACAATAACTACCTGTACATAGCCACATTCACCTTTCCAATTATCATCCGGCCGGGATAGAACCGGCACAATATCAACTCCAGAAGATTCCCAATCTCTGAATCTATCCTGTAGGTGGAAGAAACACAAGCTTAGTAGTCAAAGTATTGAGCAACGGAACATATTTTATCAAATTTTATTTTAATATAAATGAACATGGCAAAACCCTGACATATAAAGCAGTGTTTAAAACCTGATAAACCATCCTCTTTAGATTTCTTGCACCATAATAGAGTCTCACGTCAGATCTCTTATCAGCACTGAATCCTGACTCAATCAAAGACCGTATTGGGCTGCACGGGACGAAATAGAGTAAGTAAATTAAGGAGAAAACACAGAAAACATGCATATTTACAAACATGCAATACTCGTTGATCAAAGTTTGAATCTTGGAAACTCTTGATACATGGAGTGGCCTTCTATCACAAACCAAAAGTACCAAAGAAAACATAAAGAAGTACCACAAGAATCCCCCCTCTTTTCCTCCCTTCCCACAACTAGTGCCTCACAAAACACTGCCGCCCCAAATAGGGCTGTCATTGCATTACATGGTGGGCTATCGGAAGATCTATTTACCCCTCCCCCCCCACCCAAAAAAAAAAATCCCTGCAAACAACACACACACAACACAAAAAATAATTCATTTAGTATTTATATGTATACTAACCCTCAGGGGAGAAACCTTTATAAATATGATGCAAGGAAAGTATTGAAAATCTTAGTGTCACTACCCTGTTCCTTCTGTGACTGATTTTGGTAGACATTTCAGTTCAGAGCATAAGGTAGATGAAGCACACACCAAAAAAACTTTCATTCAACTTTCAATACCGAACGCAAAGTTTGGTACATGGAAATGATTTTGGATGGAAATGGAATAAACATCGAAATACTGATTTCAAAATTAATGTACATTACCATTATCATATTTGGCGACAGCTAGGATTAGGTGATGGAATGGAAAGTTCAATCTATGGGTTAACAGCAATGTGGCACAATGATTAAGAACATAAATGCTTTTCAAGTATAGGTGCCACAAGAGCCAATGCCCAATTTCCCCTCTTGTCAACTGGAAAACAGCAATCTAAAATGCTTACTTAAATCACAGCCTTAGCCAAAACATAGAATTCAACAAAGCAACAGCATATTACTGTGATAATAATAAAGTATGTGAGCATTTGCATAAGCCTTTGGAATAGCATAGCGCAGACCACCTCTATATAATTCGACCAAGAGGCACTAAAAATGTTTGTTCAGCTCGCACAGTTCTGAGATGCAAATAAGATAATATGTTCTTTCAATATTAACCAGCTAATTTTGAAAACCCGCATTGGACACGATTTTCCTATATTCTACTTAGTGAGGGTTACTTCTTTTTTCAATATCAAGGAAAAAGAAGATCGTGACAGGAGAATGGATTCAAGAAGAAATTGCCTAATCAGTTGAACCCAGGGGATCATGAGGGAATGCCAACAAACGCAATGAATAGTATGTGTGGTTAGCAAGATAGGCTAAATTACTTTGACAGTTGAACTGGTGATCGGGTGGGAATGCCAACAAACACGATGAATAGTATATAAGGTTAGCGAAAAGGGCTAAATTACTTTGAGTCCGCCGGCGGCGCCTAAATTACTATTATCTAAAATAAAGCGTATACTTTGACTACAAAATTCTTGCAATTCACGCATTCAAATCAAAACTAAAGAAATAATCTAATTATTCCAATAAAACTTTAAAGAAATTACCTAATTCCAGATCCTGTTGCGAAAATCAGAAGAGACTGATAGTCCTGGGGCGGAGAAATTCGATCAATATCGAATCCCTTTCCCATAACCTGACTCAGTTCAACCACATCCCCTTTGTTGAGCCCACAGAGAAGCTTGGCGGTGGACCCTGCAACGCTCTTCACCAAGAATTCGAACACGCCTTGGACTGAGGAGAGAGAAGGTGGAGAAGCGATGGCGAAGAAGGAGGGCCTCGAGACGGCATCGTACAGAGGAACCCGAAGCTGGAGGTACTGTCCAGCTTTGGTGTGGGAAGTAGCCAGGTCCGGCGAGTCGGATACGTCGATGGAGATGTGGTAGAGGGACTCGGCCGCAGGGTGGATGGAAGTGAGAGAGGCTTGGGTCCAGAAGATGGTGTCTTCGACGACGGAAGCTGCGGCGACGGAGAGGCAGCAGCGGTGGTGATTGTGGCGGCGTGTCAGGTGGCGAAGGATAGTTGTGGTGGCCATGGGATGGTGGAATTGGTTGGTGTGGTGAGGTGCATGGGAACAGAGAGTGGGGATGAGAAGAGGTGTTTGTGTGTGTGAGAAAGAGAGACGGACAGAAGTCTAGAATGCGCCGCCGCCGATGGTGGCGATGATGGACCGGTTTCGGACAAAACTTTTTGTTTAATTATTTGGGTAAATTACACTCACACCCCTGATATTTTATTTTATTACATTTACACCCCTCACATTTCAAAAATTACATTGATTCCCAAATAGTTAGACGGAGTTAACGGTCTTAATAAAAAGACTATTTTACCCCTTAATTGAACACAAACTCAACCTAAACCCCAAGTCATATCCCTAACGCCGAAATCTTCACCGCCATCTACACAATGCTCTCTGTCTCTATCTCTCACTCAAGGCGACGAACCGGCTCGAAATTATTGGTCTTCTCTCTCTCTTTCACTCCCTCTGTATGTGTGGGACTTCTTGAACAGGGCTGCGACGAGCACGCCGAAGTCGTGGTCAGTGGCACTTTCATGGCGGAAGAAGGTGTCTCTGGTATCAAATTCAAGACCCCTTTTAGTTTGGATTTCAAATTGGCACCTGATTTCGATTTGAAAGTGATGTGTAAGGGATAATGGTGGAAAATGAAGGGTTTTGCTTTGGGGTTTTTGGGGGCTTGGGTCTATGGTTTTACGAAGGAATGAGTAAGAGGATAAGGGCTTAGGAGTGGTTGGGGGGGCTTTGAATCGTGAAACCAAGTTCATCACCATGTTTTTCTCGGTGTGTGTATATTTATATATAAAACAGCCTGAAATTGCAGAAGAAATTGTAGAAGAATTGGGGAAAAATCTCTCTAAATCATTAAATCAGGCTCACCACCATGTTTTTCTCTGTGTGTGTGTGTGTATAATAGCCTGAAATTGCAGAGGAATTGGGAAAAATTCTCTCTGAATCATGAAACCAAACTCACCACCATGTTTTCTGTGTATACTGCAAGGACCATAGTTTTTGGGGCTTCTTTTAGTTTGGGGAATGCATTTGCTAGGAATTAATTCGGAGCCACAATTGAAGATTGGAAGTATATATGTGTGTGCGCGTGAGAGAGAGATGGGAAGAGGAAGAGGAGGTGGTGGTGGTGGTTTCCGTGCTGTAGAGGCGGTGGGGCAACAACCTAGGTTAGGATAGTGAAGGGGATGGAGGAAAAAGATGATTAGGATATATGAGGGTTAAAAATGCCTTTTTAATGAAATTGTTAACGCCTGTTAAACAAAAGGAGTGCGGCTGTCACGCGTGTTCAAATGTCTAAGGGTTTTAGTGTAATTTTTGAAATGTGAAAGGATGTTTGTGTAATAAAATCAAATGTCAAGGAGTGAGTGTAATTTATCCTAATTATTTTATATTATTTTCTTTTTTTACAATTAGAACTTACAAAACAGAACCATCTATACGAAAAATTTATTCTTTTTTATCATCTACAAAATGGCACATTTAAAAATTTATTTTATTATTTTTACGACTAAGCACAAATAATAAGTTATACAAGGTGTTATTTTTCCGTTGATTTTATTGAAGCCTGAAAATCTCGTTAATCTATTCATTCACATCACTAATTAACGAGACATTTGATTATTTTACGAGAGTTTATTACTCTTAATTTCTTAAATCCTCATTCGTTATACATTTAGGTAATACTTGAACTATAATTTCAAGATTTAAATACACCACCTGAATTGCAATTTCAACATGAGTATAACTAAAATTACAGGAAAAAAGTAACCAAAATTACAACCCAAGTAGCTTAATCCGAATTCTCAGCACCATTATGCCAAAACTAAACATATGGAAGATAAACTTTTAGGATCGTTTAGTGGTTAAACCCGACCTCTAATAACTTAAAAGTCTTAAATTCAATTCTTTTTCACCCTCTTCATTGAATAGTCGTCGTTATTTCTCAACAACATGCTCATGCTACGGTGATCGTCATTGAACTCAAATAAATAGTCGATCCAAACATAAATACCTTGTAGCAACCAAAAAAAAAACCACATGGAAGATAATCTTAGATCCCTCATAAACTAACAAATGGATAGTAAACATCAAATATTCAAATGAGCAAGTTTGTTATAAAAGTCGCTAAGGCTTTGTTTGGTTAGCAAGAGATTGTTGAAAAATGCATAAAACAAAAACAAATTTCTTCTTTTTACTGTTTGTTTAACATAATAATACTAGAAACTAAATTCTTGATTCCCAAATTCTTTTAGTTACATGCAGTTCTAATTTATTACAAATTGTACGAGAAAATAACTTTTTTGTTTAACATAATAATACTAGAAACTAAATTCTTGATCCACAGAATTTTTTAGTAACATGCAGTTCTAATTTATTGCAAATTGTACGAGAAAATAACTTTTTTACCGAAACAGTTGAACCGACATATCTAATTTTTCACTTTGTCCATATTTTCTCTCCCATTAGTCATTAACTATTGAATAAAAATCTCTTTAATATAAATAAAGATTAACATTAATATTTAAACAAATTTTCTTGCTTTTCAAACTATAGAAAAAATATTTATTTCATGCTGACCAAACAAGGGTAATATTAATATTAAAAATTTTATTGTATATATTTCATACTAACCTAATACATAAAAAAAAAAAATTATTTTTTTCACTTCACTTTCTATCAATAGTTTCTTCCTAAATCAGTCGAGTATTAAACTTTAGTCTAGTCAAGGCATTGTGATTCGGATTGAAATGATTGTAGCCGTTAGATGATCATCTGACAAATGATATTACAAATCAAGCTACACAGGCATTGTTTGTTGATTCTGTCCAAACAAAAGGCCACCCGAGGCATCACTCTGCATAAATCTGATGAAAATACCATATAATTTCGGGATCCAATATTCCGAAAATAAATTCAAGGAAAAAATATACAAGTCCAGAACTTTGCCCCCTTATTATCAGCCAAGATAAAAAAAGTAAGGGGGCTTGGCAGGAAGGCCCTTCGTTCCATTTTCTCAATGGCAATCCTGCAAACGAAATTGAAACAGCAACACAAAAACCTGATCCATTTGGTATCAGAAAATTTAAGTTCAAGTGTTCGCAGAATTGCCAACACGAACTAAATTATTCATTTTTGCAATTGTCACAAGGAGGAGGAGTCAAGAGAGGGATGTCAGTTCACTAGGAGGCAGATTCTTTGGCAATCTTCTCTGCCTTGGACATGACCTCATCAATTCCTCCAACCATGTAAAACGCCTGTTCTGAAAGGTCATCGTATTTCCCATCCAAGACTCCCTGTTGAAACAAACAAACAAACAAACAAACAAACAAACCATGAAGGCGCAAATGCATCAGCATCATGTATAGGGCCAGCCAAGACAAAGCCACAAGTTTTAAAGTAAACCAAAAGCACATCTATTTGAAAAAAATATACATAATTATACGAATACACCAGTTTAGGCAACATCAAGTGAAAGCATCACCAACAACAGCACCCAAAGCACAAAGACGCAATGACATGCAGCAATGCAATTGCCTTCATGAATATCAACACCCATTACCCACTCCTCTCACAAAAGTGGAAAAATTGCTGGAAAAATGGCATCAGGAATGAATGTTAAAAATGTGCGTGCGTGATTCCTGCAATTTTCATATTGAAAAAAAAAAAAAAGAAATTTTACTTACTAAAAAATAGAATCAGTTATGACAACAAGTAGGAATGACAGCTCAAGACACTAGCATTGTTTTCTGAAGCTGATTATACTACAGGATGCGACAAAAAATGGAAGCATTAAAGGCCCTATTTAATTTCTTCATAACGCAATCCTCAAGCATTTACCCACATCACAAACACGTTCTCCCCAAGTCTACATGACATTGCTATGTAAGGGACAAAATGAGAAACAAAGAACTAAAAGAAAATGAATGAACAAACAATTTGTGAGTTTTGTTAAGAGATTAAAGGTACCTGGAAGCTGGTAATGCTCTCCTTCAACTCAACATACTTGCCAGGGGCACCCGTGAACACTTCTGCAACATGGAATGGCTGGCTCAAGAACCGTTGAATTTTACGAGCACGGGCGACAGTCAACTTGTCATCTTCACTGAGCTCATCCATTCCCAAGATAGCAATAATATCTTGAAGATTCTTGTAGTTCTGAAGAACTTTTTGTACGCCACGGGCGGTATTGTAGTGTTCCTCCCCCAGTATATGGGGGGAAAGCATACGAGATGTAGAATCAAGAGGATCAACAGCAGGATAAATACCAAGCTCAGAGATCTGCCAGCCAACAAAAAAATAACTGTAGATAACAAACTATTTCCATAATCAGATCCAAAAAGGAAGAACTGAGCTGAATACCTGTCGAGATAACACGGTGGTGGCATCCAAGTGAGCAAAAGTTGTTGCCGGAGCTGGATCTGTCAAGTCATCAGCAGGCACATAAATAGCTTGGACGGAAGTAATGGAACCTTTTTTGGTTGTGGTAATACGCTCTTGAAGGCCTCCAAGATCCGTAGCCAAAGTTGGTTGGTAACCGACAGCGGATGGAATACGACCAAGCAAAGCAGACACCTCAGAGTTGGCCTGCAAAATAAATAGAAAGAATATAAATGAATGATTTTATACATGCCAGATCATGAATTAGTAAGTGCATCCAATTTCCAAAAAAAATCCAGCAAGATCTTGGGCAGTAATGAATAACTAACCAAGAAGATCCTGAAGAAACAACCTACCTGGGTAAAACGGAAAATGTTGTCAACGAAGAGAAGCACATCTTGCCCTTCAGCATCTCTGAAGTGTTCAGCCACAGTTAACCCAGTAAGCCCAACACGAGCACGAGCACCAGGGGGCTCATTCATTTGACCATAGACAAGAGCACATTTGCTATCACTCTGAAAAAACAAATATGATGCACAGGAGAAATTAATTGGTGAAAAGAAGCATACAAATCTCTTTGGTGCAAGTAAAGAGGCCAAAAAAAAAATGCAATCTAATAATTATGTGCTGACCTGATGATCACCAAGCTTAATGACACCACTCTCAATCATTTCCCTGTATAAATCATTACCCTCTCGAGTTCGTTCTCCAACACCAGCAAACACAGAAAAACCACCTGGGCAATGAAATTAAGAAACAACCAATAAGAGAAAAGTTAAGCAATCAGGGCTTTTAAATGAATGCACACGTCCTCCCACCATGGGCTTTTGCAACATTATTAATGAGTTCCATAATCAGCACAGTTTTCCCGACACCAGCACCACCAAATAGCCCAATTTTTCCACCTCTTTGGTAGGGTGCAAGGAGATCAACAACCTGTACAAGAATGCAACACAAGGTAAATACTTCCAATTATACATACTCAGGCTTTGATAAAATGGAAGGGCCGACAGAATTCGTCATTAACTACTAGATGAGGAGGAAAGAGAAAAATTTAATAAAGTAAAACCTCTAGCTGATACTATACCTTGATTCCAGTAACAAGGATTTGTTGTTCAGTTGCTTGCTCAACAAAGGCAGGAGCTTCTCGATGAATTGGCAAGAAGTGGTCGGTCTCTATAGAAGAATTTTCGTAAATAAAGTTAAAACCATACCTACTGCCTCAATTGATCACTCACTAATCAAAGGCAATGGCTCACTTACTGATTTCGCCTCTCTCATCAATAGGCTCTCCAATTACATTCATGATACGGCCCAGAGTGGCCCTCCCAACAGGCACCTACAATCATGAAATCAAAATTATCATTATGAACAATTACAACAGCCCACTTTAATAAGGATATATAAATAGCCATGAAAAGAAATTGCAACAAAATGATGTACTGATCAAACGACAGTATTCATAACTAACACATAAAATCATAGATGCAGAATCCAAGGGGAGACAACTTGTTGCTTACATGCACACTCTAAGGTGTGTTATCTATTTTTTTGAAAACAAAGGTATGGATCTGCAAGAGAAAATGCCTCTTACAGGCAGGTGTTTAAAAACAAAGTGTAAATGAAGGCTAAAAGACAAGAAATCCCAAAGGAAAAGGAAATCAATATCCTTTTACATGTGAAGCAGAAAACACAACATTATCAAAGAAACCAACAAAAAACATATCTCCATATAATACAAGGTTAATTTCAAGGGACTGCAAGCAAATATTGTCAATAAGTTGAACCAAGAGAAGATTATAACCGTGGACAAACCTGAACTAATACCTATAAAAGAACTGAATTTTGAAACCATATCGAGCAAAAAACCAGCTACACTTTGCTTTCAGCAACAGTAAAACACGTTCCCCCATTTTGAAACCATTCATGTCCGTTCATATCAACATATTTTAGTACTAAGAAAGAACTGTACATTTCCTAACCATCATCGGCATAACCAATATTCGTATAATAAATTCCTACATATTCATATACCACCCGTACTTATACACAGATTATTAGAACACAAACATTTTCCCAAGTCTAACCAATGCTTATATCAATCAAACAATCATACCATAAATGCACTAAAATACAACTGCATTAATGCTGCAATACTTATTTGATCAAAAAAAAAAATGCTGCAATACTTAGATCTCGCATTTGATAGTACCAAACCCATCAGAATATTCCAAAACCCCAATTTCAACCGTATCAAACCCCCCAAAATATTAAACATTCCTCAAAAATCCAAGCAAATGAGATTAAAAAATCGTTAAGCTCCATAAAATGGAAAAACAAGCTCTTACAGTGATAGGAGATCCAGTATTAAGGACTCTCTGACCTCGAACAAGACCTTCAGTTCCATCCATAGCGATGGTCCTCACCATATTCTCCCCCAAATGCTGGGCCACCTCAAGCACAAGTCTGATCTGGTTATCCAACACCTCCAAGGCCGTCAAGATCGGAGGCAAACCCTCATCGAACCTCACATCGACAACGGCCCCAATCACCTGACACACTTTCCCAATCGCTCCGGCACCCGTGAACTCATCGGTAATCTTTCCGCTGGGCCCACTAGCAACCTTTGCTGGTGGTTGCGGCGCCGTCTGCGATGGAGCCGCGGCGGAGGTAGCATAGTTTACGGCGCGATTGAATATATAACCCTTCGGAGATGGACGGTGTAATGCCGATCTAGTGTTTGAAAATGTTGATTTGGGGGTAGAGCGCTGAATAGAGGATCGGAGAAGGGAGGCGAATAGCCTCCTAGACGCCATGGTCAGGTATGTGTGAGAGAGAGAGAGAGTAGGGTTTGAAGTGACCGTGTGTTCGCAAATGACAGTGATTTCAATTTACGAAAGAGTATCGGATAGAAATAGAGGAGTTTTTTAACCAAGTACGGTCTTTTGGGTGAAATACAATTTACACCCCTCGAAATTTACACTTAATTTCTATTTGACCTCTTATTAATCAATATTTATTTTAGGATGAAAAAATATCACATGCATAACTTTGACTAAATTAATATAAAAATGAAGCAAATCTTAAAATGTGTCAATTCTTTTTTTTTTAATTATTGATGAATTTAAATTGAATGACTTAATTGAAACAAAGGTTAAAATTTAACGACTTCATTGTTTTAATTAATAGTTCAAGAACTAAATAAAAGTCAAATATAAACTTTTCAAAAAAAAAATATAGTTTTTTACTATTTTTTATTTTTATTTCCATAGTTTTTTGATTTATCATTGTTTACAAAACTATATGATTTTAAAACGGCTTTTAGCAATTAATTAAGGATAAAATTCTAATATTTTTGTAAAAAAAATTATATCATCTTGGTTAGATTTATTGTGTACCCATTGATTGTAAAAAATAATTAAATTTTAATATAAAAATTTTAAAACACTAAGTTTTATTTAAAAATTTAAATATAAAATATTGAAAAAAAAATTAATAAGTCATTAAATATCGACTTTTTGCCCAAGTTCACCGGTTCAAATCTCATTGTCGACTCTCTATTGTAATTACCAATCTAAAACCAACTGCGAGAAAACAAACAAAATTGTAATTTAACATAATATCACCTCGAGGTATATTTGGGCCTGACGAAGGGCCTTTGCCATGATGGGCCTGCTTGGCCTACGAATAAAAACTGCTTTGCTTTCATGGGTCTAGCCCATTATTTCTGTATCTCTCTCTTCCCGGACATTAGTGAGGGATTTATTGGATGAATTGAAAGGTTAATTGGAACTCAAATTAAAACAAAAGTTCTTTGAAAATCCGTATACTTAAATAGATTTATTTGACAAAAAATATATAAAACAAAATATTTTAGAAAAAAATACACAGCTGGGATAAAAAGACGTAAATGCCCATTTTAGAGTCATTTAATTTAAAATCTTGTATCTTTAATGCACCTTGATTAATATGTATTTTGTTAATATATATATATATATATAAGAAAACTTTAATATTTCATATTTGTATGTTCTCTCTTGATTTATGCGAATTTTTTTTAAAAGTGATTTTATTTTCAAATTATATTTAATGCAACTTAATTCATGCATTTTTTTTTTTTTGAAAAGTGGTTTTATTTTTAAATTAATTTAATATCCAAATAGTGTAATAGTGTAACAATAACAGTATAACAATAAAAGTGTAATAGTACTATTACATTTTGTCAAACATATATTTTCATATAATTTAATTCAAAACAGTTCATCTTCGTTTTGAATTTGTTACCACATGCACAAAACTACTGAACACTGTTTTTGTTACACTGTTATTGTTACATTATTTATCAGATATTAAATTAATTTGAAAATAAAATCACTTAAAAAAAAACGCATGAATCAAGGTGTATTAAATATAATTTAAAAACAAAATCACTTTAAAAAAATATGCATAAATTAAGGTGCATTAAAGATAATTCAAAATTTAGACAAGAGATTTAACAACAAGAATATATATATATATATATAAAGTTCAAATAATGTACCACTTTTCAAAGAAAATATTTAATGTACCACTTTCCAAAAATAATACACATGGATTAATAGAAAAAAAAATATCACAAAAAAATTAGTAAAATTCAAATAATGTTTTTAAATACAAATAAGTATCAAAATTAAAGACATAATTACTCAATATTTTTTTTGTGTATATTTTTACAATTAAGTCTAATTTGGTGTACCCCCTTTCAATTTCTCCTTAAAACAAAAACCTTCATTCTAAACTCATTTTCAAATAAAGTTGAGAAGAAAAAAAGTAGTATTAATCTATTAGCATCTGTAAAAAAATATTGATTTCCTAATTTATCTCTAATTATTCTTATAAAGTCAGTTTTATCCACATATTTACTTTCATCCAATTTTTATTTTCAATATGTATTTAATTTCTAAGTTCTCTTGAACTCTTTTATTAATAATATTTGACTTCTAAATTCTGGTTCACTCATTTATTAGTGTACACTCATATATGGTTTCTATATCTATATTTATTTATACAAAAAAATAAAGTTCAATTTATATTATATTATTCGTTACATATAGTTGGCAGATTGGATTTTACTATCCAATATATGTCATATTTGATTTTTTTTTCCTTTGTTTGCAACAATAAAATAATGCTATAATACAAATAATAGTTTATAATTTAATTAATCCCTTTGACAAAAAAATATAATAAATATATTTAGAGATATAAATACTAAAAAATTACAATCTTACAATTAAACTCCACTATAAACAAAAGAGAAAATATTTAAAGAAGCTGGAGAGATACATAAAAAATTACAGATTAGGTAGTTAAAGAGGGGTAGAACATATCAATAATTAAGTTTAGTAATAATTAAAATAATATTTAATTATTCAACACGAAATTTATTAGTCAAATTAATTCCAAATATAAGTTAAATTTTTTTTTTTTTATATTTACGTGGTTCAACTTAAATTTATTTAAGTATTTTATTTTTTTAATTGATTGGAATTCATCCCATAAAATAGGAGATAAACATTCTTTTAAATAAAAAGTGTCACAAAACAATCTATATAAATATAGTATAAGAGATTTTGAATCCTCCAACTTGTAAATTTGTTCGAACAGCTCAAATTAATTGGTAAGAATTCACAGTGAATGATTGAAAATCAAACTAAACAACCAAAAAAAAAAAAAAATTGAAAAAAAAATATGAATGAATTTTGCCAGTCTAATGGTAATTTTTTCATACGGCAGGCAACAGAGGCAAGAGAAAGGCTATCTATCTTATGAGAAAGCCTGAGCTGATCATGGATTAATGTGAATGAGTAGCAACTATATAGAATGATAAATACTTTTGTTCTGTAACAATTCTTAGAAAATATATATCACCTACTTTCCGGAAGAAAAAAAGAAGAAAGATACATCACCTTATCAATTTTCTTCTGTTGTTTTTACTAGTTTTGTTTGTGCCAAAAAGATTGAGAATGAGCTCTGCTGTTGGTTCACTAGAGGTCGGGATGACAACGTTCTCTCTCTCAATCATATCAGTATACTCCTTCCAAGTGTCTACTAGATCTCTAGACCGCATGACAAATCCTGGCCTTATCATAGCCCTACGGATGAGCTAATCTGTGGTGGCTGTATCTCTCTACGAAGGCAAGGCGCCCCTTTAATGTCTGTGGGTGTATGTTACAGAGAGAGAGCTATAACTAGGCCAAGGTGATATTCCAGCAGAAACAGTGCTCAATTGCCGATTCACCCAATCACCTCCCCCCCCCCCCCCCAAAAAAAAAAAAAAAAAAAAACCAAACAACCCACAAAAGAAAAAGAAAAGAAAATTAACAAATATGAAATTGAAACATGAAGGTCAATACTCTTCTGATGAAAGCCATATAAACATGCTGGTGAGGGCACTCAGATGGGCAGGTTTATTCTGAACCACTGAGCAAAAAATCTGAGAAAATAAACTTGAAGCTCTCATTACATAATAAATACTACGAGAATATGTTACAACAATTAAGTAAAAAGAGCACTCGGATTTGTGTGAAAATACCTTATGCTCCTGAAGGTTTTCTTCGTTTATGTGATACTTTAATTCCGGGATCCAAATGGATAGAACAAGGGCCCGCTGTGATTAGACTTCCTTTAACAGATTTGACCAGAATTTTGTGCCTGCAGCCCTGCGGAATTCGACCTTTTATCTGGTTGGGTAGCTAGTACGGTTAGAGGCGCAACTAGAAGAGTTGGCCCAATATTTTTATTTATTTTCTCAATTAGAATGTAATCTTCGAAGTTTAGAACTTTGGACGCACTGAACACCGAGAGAAGATCGTACGCTCTAACACACTCTGAAAACAATCACTGGCCAGTGAGCTTTACCATCCATGCACCGCCTAAGTAGAGACCCATAAGGGGGCCTGCTAGAAGTAGCTGTGTGAGAGGATCGGTAGAGGGTGTAAGTATTGCAGCTGCAACCACAGCACCAACCACAACATATCTCCATATTGAGAGCATTTGATCTCCAGATACTAAACCAAATTGTCCCAATAGAAGTTGTATAACTGGAACCTGTAGGAGAAAATAAACACACAACTTGGTTAGGCACAGGTCCTAAAGGAGAGTAATTTGATTGATGTGTTCGTAAATCAAGAAAGCATGAATCGACTTTGATATCTTCTAGCATTTGAAGGCATAAGTCTGTCCAGTCAGGACATCAGAGCCATCTTTAAAATCTCTCTCCTCTCTCTCTCTCTCAGAGAGACTCACACAAAGAATGATGGCACTCCTTGTGATTAAACAGTGTTCTAAGTAACCACTAATTTTAACAAGCTGCTTTTTAACCCAGAAAGAAAGAGGGAGAAAGGAGGGAGTGGGGCGACACAGACATTTCAAACCAGCACAACAACGCTAGAACACAAATGAAAGTACACACGCACAAAACTCTCTACAACTGGTGTAAGTTGAAGGAGTCACATGCCAGTACCTTCTGGTGGAAACTGTTCAGTTGATTGAATCAAACAAAGACTTACAATTGTCAAAGACAGTTATATGATTTCGAACAATGCTTCAAATCTCAAAAACACCATCACAGCAAATGTAACAATTATATATAAGTATACGATGGATAGAAACAATTTGCTCCAAAGAAGCATAATTACCTGGAAGGACAATCCGGTGCTAAACATGAGCACAAGCACAAATTCAAAGTATTGATCTATGGACCACAATGATTCCACAACTCCTTCCGCATAATTAACGAAAAAATTCAAGGCGGCTGGAGCAAGGACCCAGTACGAGAAGGCAATGCCAGCATAGAAAAGTATAGAGGATCCTAAAACAATTGGTCCCAGGGATCTTCTCTCTGCCCTTGTTAAACCAGGAAGAACAAAGGCGATGATTTCATAGAGAATTACAGGGCTCGCCAAAAGAAGGCCACAGTATCCTGATACCTACATGAAAATAGAAACTATCTATTACTACTATATACAGTAGCCTACTTCATTTGGTTAGCGAAAGAGGCAATGTGCTCAAAATTGAAAGTTCAATGAGATAAAGAATAAGAAGAAAAAAAAAGATAGAATCAAACAATCGTACAGGCATCTTTTGTGGGCTCTACAATCAAATTGACCCTAACCTTTCATCAAAGACACAGAAAAATAGGATCTATCAGACCCATATCGGTAAATGATCAAATTACCACCCTTCCTTTCCAAGGAATTCAAAAATACTGTGATGTCTCCGTTTCTTTATATATTTATGATTTTTTTTGTAAGTGGAAGAATGACATAAAATTACCTAGCACCAAAATATAAAAATTCTAAGTTGTGTACAATAATTTCCTTACATTAGGTGTTTGACGGAATCAAGGCCATAATCTCTGCTCAATCATGGGGCATTGTGCCATGGAATTTAATGAGAAAGTGAATGGAGAATGATTTCTAAATAGTACTGTGCATTACAGAATGGGGTTAAGCATACCAGGTAAGTGTGGGTGTGTGTGTGACCCGGGAGCAGAGTCTTTGATTCTCATAAACTTTCATAAACTAATTTATCTCCTAACTGGAGAATTATGAAACCCAAATAGAAGATCAGACTACACTAATATGGCAGTTCTTCTGTATTAGCTCAACTTCTACAATTACTTCTCTGTTACTGCCCCCTTCTCTGTTACTAGGAAACGAACAGGAGGCAATTTATCGGATTCTAGCATCAAACTCTTGAGCAAGCCAGACATACAATGATTTTTTCTTTTTTTGATATGATGGACAAAGATGTCCAACCATGAGATGGAAAACATAAAACAACAAAATTTAAGGGGCACATGAGGCCTTCCAAATTCCAATCCACCAAAATACAAATAGTGGGACACCATCAAAATCCTTAGAAACAAAAGCCCACAATAATGCCAAAAAATAAATCCGACCTCATAAAGCCTCCTTCCATTTGGCTCTATCCTTGAGTTTCTTTCCAACCAAATTACCATATTATGACAAAAATTGCTCAATGCCAAAGGGTCACCCCTTTCCCATTCTTTTCCAAATCACTCGAATTCCTGCACTTGCATTGAAGAAAAAGTCTTGGGAATCACCCATCTCAATCCAGCTAATTGAAATAGCTTGGACCACAAAAACATAGCAATGGGACTGCAAGAAAAGGTGATCAATACTCTCACTAGCACAAGCACAAATCACCCACCACTATGGAGAAATGCAAAGAAATAGTCTTCTTCTTTGAATCATAACAATTGTATTAATCCTACCATGAGCTATAATCAATACACAAACTTGCACCTTACTAGGCACTTTAACCTTCCAAATCATCACAGAAGGAGGAAACACAAGATTCAAAGGATCATCAATCAGCATTTCAAAAAAGATTTACATGAGAAAACTCCTGAACACTCAAAAATCCATTTTTTTTATCACTTAATTCATGACACAATTTGAAGTCATTAAGCAAGGAAAGAAGTGACACCAATTCCATAGAATATCTATCATTAAGATGCCTACAATGAACAAAAACCAAACCATATGGCATCAATTAATATTTTGTTCACAGCTTTACAAAAATAACCATTTGTAACTTATATGCTTATAAAACTACAAAAAAAAAGAAAGGAAGAAATATCTATAAGCCCAATTATTATAATAAAGGCCAAGTACTGAAAGAAAAAAGTTACATAAGTTTTTTAGTAGTAATTTCTATTTACAAGCTCATGATTGATAACCACAAAACTGGTATTATCTACAAAGAGGTATGTCATATGGTAACAATAAACAGAAAAAAAAGTATTTATTTTAGACCAAAATTTTCAGAAACAGTCTGCACACACTTTTGGTATCATATTTTCCTGCAAAAATACATACTAATCTCATAAAATAGCCTACCCTAGTTTATTCGGTAAATTATCTTATGAAAATAAACTATCACAAGAACTAGATCGAAGAACTGAGGGTGAAAATTGCACAACATAGTCTAGGATCCATAAATGGAAACTTCCAGTGATATGCTAAACATTTTTGGGAAATCCATTAGAAGAAATGAACAAATATATTAATGAAGATAGATCACTATTGTTGGCAACATGGTTGTCCTAACAAGCAACTTCAAAATGTAAATCAACCAACATTTCTATTGATGGTGGTAGATATTAATTGCGTGGTAACCAAAGATCCTGAAGAAGTTCTTCCATAACAGGAATAACATATATTGCAACTGTTCTTCCAAAGAAGCAAGAAAAGAGGAGAAAAATAACTTTTCTCTTGAAACAAAACGCAATGCATAGCAGATGCGGTATGATCTGACCAGGGTGAAAGAACTGAAATTCTTCCCCGTCGTTTGATTTATGTATTATTCCAAATTGTGTAATACTAGATTTGATGAGAATGGAATGTCTGAGCAGAACATTTATATTGAAGACAGAATATCACTTTTATTCTAACCTTTAATGTTGTGAAGAAAAACTCGCCAGGAGCTAGTTGCAGAAATCGAACACCCTGCGTTCTGACAGGAGCTTCAAGAAACCTTATAAGTTCCTTGGAGTATGTAAAGCATCCCACCATAGCAGCACCAACTGCCAAAATTGATACAAAAATTCGTTCACGCAGCTCCTCTAGATGATCAAATATACTCATTTCTTTATCATCTGGAAGGAGCTTTTTATTAGGATATAGAAGATTATAAAGAACACTTCCTCCAGTATCTGGGTCATCACTCTGAGATGTATCCTTTCTTGAAACATCGACCACCTCTATAATTTCAATCACAAGCATGACGTTAGAATCTAAATCGAAATATCTAAAAGTATTCTTTTTCCGGAAATTAACAGGTAGCATGAAGATCAGGTTAGAAATTTTAAAAATGATGATCCAAAAATACAAGATGCCCAACCCTCAACCTACAACCTAAAAGACAATCACTACAGTGCTATGGTATGGATCCACATGAATCAAGTTGTAAACATAGGACACAGATGAGTGAGGCAAGAATCCATGGGTGGACCCATGGATTTTAACAGAAAACAAAAAATCCAATGTTGTTGGTACAAATTGCCAAAAGAAGTAGATGCTAGGGATGATAAAAATATGAGCTATTAGAATATGATGAGTGGTAATCTTGTAATAAGGATATCCCTAACCGGGTGGTTTACATGGAGTAACCACCCGGGTTTGTTGCTCAAGGAGAGTATTAGAGAAGTGTATGTAAATTGACAAAAGCTTTGTATAGGTTGAAACAGTCCCATGAACATGGTTTGAGAAGTTTTTAGAGGTTGTGCTAGATTTTGATCTTCATAAATGCCAAACAAATTATTAAGTATTTCATTTATGGACTGGTGTAGATAATATCCTTCTTGTAGTTTACGTTGATGATATTGTAATTACCGGTGATGATTCAGTGGATATTGTCAAGTTGAAACAGTTTTTGATGCATCGGTTTTATACAAAAATTTTGGGCAAACCTAGATACTTTGTTGGTATCAAGGTTGCTAAATCTAAACAAGGCGTCAATCTGTCTCAAATAAAATAAGTATTTGATCTTCTAGAGGAAACATGGCTTCTAGGTGGTCGACCGGTTGATATTCTTGTGGATTCAAGTCATAGGTTCTCGGTGATTAAAGGTAAATATTTCTGGTGACAGTATCGCCTTCACCTTGGAGAATGGAATTACCTCACTATTACCCGATCAGAAATCTCATATGTAATGGTAGTGAGTTAGTTTATAAAATCTCCTCGAGTACCACAATGAGATGTTGTTATTCGTATTATTTGATATCCCAATTGAGCTTCAAGACTTGGACTACTATATAACTCACATGGGCACCTTCAGCTAAAAGGATTTACAGACACAGATTGGATAGGTTCTCCTTCAGATAGGCGGCTACTACAGGATACTTGTACCTTATTGGGAGGTAATCTAGTCACATGAAAGAGTAAGAAGCAAACGATGGCAACACGGTCTAGTGCAGAAGCTGAGTATAGGGCAATGATTCACACATGCAGTGACTTAAATATGGTTACAACACTTACATCAGGAAATTGGTTTTCCAACTCAAACTCCATTTCAGTTATTTTGTGTTATTGTGCTTATAATTCCCTTTTTTTTCTTCTAAAGAATGAAACACATTAAGGTTGATTGTCATTTTGTTCGCGAAAAGGTGTTGTGTGGAGATATTGTCACACCGTTTGTCGGATATAAGGCTTAACTTGCTAATATATTTACTAAGTGTTTGAGTAGTTATCGATTAAGAGATATTTGTTCCATCCTGTGATTATATGATATATATTCGTCAAGTTAAAGGGGAGTGTTAGAATATAAGGAATGCTAAGCTTGTAATAAGGATATCCCTAAAGATGCATATTGGTCTTTTGATTGTTTTTCACATTTGGAGAGAGGTCTTTGATACAACTTCACTCTTTCTGCCTCTTCTGTTCATCTTCCCTCCAAAATGTTATTTTTCTACTCTCAGGGGTTGTTTGGTAATGGGGAATGAGGAGGTTTGGCAAGATGGGTTTGGAAAAAATAGTCCAAAAGACCCTCAAACCCCATGTTTGTATGAAAATTTTAATCCCGGGTTTTTAAACCTGGTCAGTAGCTAGCTCGAAGATTAAACCCATGATCATGGATTTCGTCAAACCTAAAGGGAAGTAGGTTTGAAAATATGAGTAAAAGATTAAGGATCCAAAAGACAATTGTACCTTTTAACATGATTATGAATTGAATTGATTAAGGGTAAAACATCATTTACGAAACAAATAGTTGTTAATATTTATAATATATACGTGAGTCCATTATGTGTATGTATTGCATATCAAACATAGGTATGCATCAGATTGAATGTTGAATTCCATCTTTGCAAAGAGACATTTGGATTTGAAAGGATTTAGAAAAGCTAATCAAAGCTCCTCCCCAAAAAACATCCAAACAAGCCCTCAAAGTTTTAATACGCCAAGTGTTTGAATTGGAAAGGTGATGGGTTCCTTTAACTGAATCAGTTATTTTAACTTTTGTATTTCTAGGATCAGATTTCATCTTTGAATAAACCTCGTAATAGTAAGAAAGTGAGTTGTTAGATATGGGCCTAGCCTAGCAAGCTTTGCTTTCCACTTCTTTTTTTTGTGCATATTTATTGTCACTTTCCTTGTCAATTGCAGAGAAAATTGATGTAATGAAGATAGATAACTGTTATGTTGTTCTGCTTAATTTTATTCATCAAAAATCTGATTTTTTATTCTTTACAGCACCAAAATACCAACTTGGAAAGTTAACAAGAGTTGCGAAACAATTTTACTTAGGCACCTAATTGCAGTACATGGACTTCAAATGCGAAGGTCATAGCTTCAACATCAACAATAAAGTGAAAATAGCAAAACAAAAAGAATAATTTAGAGGAAACTATGAAGCATGTTCCCAAAACGAAACATATGACCGTTTATAAAATGTGCATCCAAATTAATACTAACCAATTTCACATATCCATCCATTCCCAAAAAAATAAAAAATAAAAACCCAAATCAAGAAATTCCATAAAATTACCTAAGAATTAAATAGACATCTACAATTTCTTCAAAAGAAACAAAACTTATGATGAGTTTCTTACCAGGTCTATCCTCAACAGCTGAGACAACTCCATTAATCCCACCACCACCCAATTCGGGTTGCTTTTCTGTTGCATCTTCAACGGCAAAGCACACAACTCTGCCGAACTTTTTGTAGTCCATCCTACATGAGACACCCAATTTGGGTCTTCTTTGGTTGATATGCAAAGGGATTTTATGATTTGTGTTTGAATCAAGACATTTCAAGAACTGGGTAATGTTGAGCTGTAGATTATAGAGCAGAGCACTTGTGCTTCCCATAACTCTTTCTTGTTGGCGAGTCAAATTGCTATTTGGGTTACCAGAGAGGTCTCTCTGTCTCTGAAAGAGGGCTAGGCGAAGGGTAGCTGGTCCTTGTACCCTTCGGCGGAAGATATTTAAGAGTTAAAGCAGACACGGTCTATCATTTGCAACTATTAAATTTTTTTACTTAATCACTCTTAAATCCAATGGAGTTTTTTTTTTTTTTTATCTAAAAATTACCAATAAAATTTATTTATTTTTTGTATAAAAAGTTATCAAGTCCTACCGTATTTTCTCTGAAGATGACTAAGAGCTATTTTTGCTAATTTACATAAAATGATATTTTCTTTTATGTTTGTAAAACATCAATTACATTATCTTTATGACACAAATCATTATTTTATTAAAAAATACATTTGCATTGTAAAAAAATGCTAATTTGTGTCACAATTACAAATATATGTTAAAAAATACATATATATCGGTGATGTCGGTGTCGATAATAATGTTGGTGATGATATGGTAACAGTAGGGATGCCAACGATAATAATAATCGTGGAATTACAGTGAAAATGGCAACGGTGATTATGCAAGTGGTGTTAGTGATACTGGTTGCAATGAGAGTATTGTAGGCAATATTAGCAATGGTATTGACGACGACAATGTTGGTTAGGGGGTATAAAGATGGTTTTGCGACCGTAGTGGTAGGAGTTTGTAATGGTGGTGCCGAAGAACAATGGTTGTCAGGTCGACATTGTTAGTGGCAATAGTGATTTTGGTGGTAGATCAACAATACCCATCAATATCATGCAATAATTACTCATGTAAAATTCATTTATCCACTTGTTATCTTATCATTAAATGATTACACCATGTCAACGTATTACATCTAATATTTATTCGTGATGACGGTGTTTGTGGTGCTACTTATGATCATTGTGGTTATAAATGAAAAAATAAAAATACTTCGGGCATGTTTGTTTCGAGTAAAAAATTTAGGTGGTATAAGATTTTATATCCATTTCACTCCAATCCAATAATATATTATACCCGGTGTTAAACTATAATCTCATAATTCTCCTTATTTGTTTATCACAAATATTATCTGTGTAATACTTACTTAAAAAAATTAACAATTGCGGCAAACTTAAAAAGTTAAAAATTGCTGTTAGGCTTTTATATGAAAATTGTACCGGAGGGCATTTCGATTTTTTTAGTTTATAATACTTATACCAAGAATATAATACCACCCCTTAGATGATATTCATTAAGACCTTGTACAAGACATTATTATGACTACTGTTCATAGTAGGTTGGTATTACGATCCGAAAAATAGTACTGACTATAAAATGCCAAACAAACAACGTATAAGATGGATCCTACATACTATTTTCTTAATACCACCTCCTTATACCACCTTAATACTCAAAACAAACGGGGCCTTCATGTATACATGATTTTAAAAAAATATAAATTTTTTCTATCCTTTTTTATAACTTGTAAGCACAACTCTTATCAAAATGAAGTTAAAAGCTTGTCCAATCTAATAATATAAGAACATGTGATAGATCGATATACTTAGATTGTGAATTGTTAAGAGTTTAGTAAATTATGATAATTAATAATAAATTTATATTAACACCTTAAATTTAATAAGAAAAATAGACTCTTAATGGTGTGTTTAGAATGATTTTTTAAAAATACTACTTTTAAAAAAAATAGTGTTTGAAATCGCCCTACCACTACCTCTACCACTACCACCCCCGCCGCCGCCGATGCCAATATCCTCATCGTCACTACCACTACCACCACCACTACCATTGCTGTCACCACCGCGGTTATTGCCACCTACCACAACTATCACCCGTCTCCTACCACCACTACTGTTGCCCATCACCTCTCACTCCATTACAAAACGATGCTTAAATTATTTCATCTCTCCTCAACGTTTTTGATATAATTTTGAATATGAATATAAATATAAATATATTTTTTATTTTTTATTTTTTATTATTTTGTACATTCATGCATAGACAATAACTAGTTAATAAATAAGACAAATAAACTCAATTAATCTTTCATAATTATTTTGAATATGAAAGTTATTAGTAGGTATATAATTTAGTGAATCCGTTAGTCCTTCGTGATTATTCAGCCCAACACAAGGCCCAAACAGCCATAAAACCTTTTAGTAAAACCCAGTTCCTTCTCCGTCCTCCTCTCCTTCAAAACGAACCACTGTAGCCACCTCCGGCCGACCAGACCACCATACCCCCCTTCCTCCACGATCGCTCCATCTATCTCCCTATCTTTCTATTTCTCTCTCCCTGTCTTACTCTTTCTTTCTCTCCTATTATCTCTCTTCCTCTGTATAACAACGCGAAGCCGTGGACACAAAAACAACAATGGATTACTCCTATGAATGGAAATCCCTCTAAGCCTACATCATCATCGGCATTTTCATCTATACTGTTCCTTTCAAACAAGTTAATTGGACCTCTAATCATCAACTCATCACAAAATACCATATCCCAACTCGTCACTCGAAAGTCGAATCACACCCCTTTGTCTTTCCTCTTTTTCTACCTCCTCATTTCCCTAAACTCTCCCTTACCAGTTGGATGTTGGAGTTTGGGGTAACAGTGGTGAGGTTTTTTGAGGTTATTGATGGAACAAGTTGCTGATTTTGAATTTTTGCTTTGAGTTGAGGTAAGTCTTGCTTTATTACTGTTAAATAATTTTTTGCCTCTACGATGCTATCTATTTAGAGCTCGTTTGGTTGCCGTATTGTAAAAGAACTAATAGTATTAGGCCACAAGATTAAATAACGTGCAAAAATACTACGCCTTGTAATCCCACTTTTTGGTAAGACACTAGAGTAAGAGTAGAATAATAGCTATGCAATCCAAACTTACTTTTGGTTAGTTCACTTATCACATAGTACTAATTAACTATTGATCAATCAATCTAGTCTAATATTACTGCTGGTTCGGATATAGAGAGATATATTTTCTGGGTGGTAAGTTGTTTAAGAGTTTTGCTATTGTTCATGCTTCTTCTGAAAGTCCGCCTCTGCCTGAAGAGTGTGTCGTCTTGCTAGGGAGTGGGGAATTTTTCTGGTTTAATTTTGATTCTTATTGTAAAACTCGGAGTTCTGTGGAATGATTTGATTAGTTGGGGAAGGGCTGGTGGTTTGAACTGTGCATTTAGCAACAGTCCTAATTGTTTGATTGTTGCTCATTCTATTACTAGGTTTGACTATAGTACCCTTTTTTTTTTGTTACTGTACCACTTACCATTTTTTAGATATCTATAACCTTTTTGGATGGAGGTTACCAACTTTTTGTGATGTACTCTCCTTTTGGGTTCACTTATCACATTTTTTGGTCAAGCTTACCATTTTTTGAGGTAAATTTTACTATTTTTTGGAGGTTTTTTTTTTTAAAACTTTTGGGTATAATATACAAAAGTTAAAATGCAGTACTATAGTATTCTTTAGTTTGTAGATGGAGCTCATTTAGAGTTTGACATGTGGGTGAGGAAGTGATAGGGATTTGGTAAAGGTGGCTCAATAAATGGTTGTGTGGAGGTGGTTGTTCATGTGGGCAATGGTGGTGTATGTGGAGGTGGAGGAGCTAGGTTTTGTGGGCATTGGAGGTGCATGTGGAGGTGGAGGAGTTGGGTTTTGTGGGCATATGGCATAATTTTGAGAAAGACAACATTTTATCCGACAAGATGTATTAGACTCTATAAAGGGTAGTTTGGGGATTACTTATTCCTATTATGATATAATATAGTTGTGACGGGTCTTTTAATGGACATTGATGAGGGGATCTATGTATTACTTCCATACAAACTTCCAGGGGTGTCAATGTAATTTGTCATAACTGAAGGGATTGGTTTGATTAAGTCATACATTAGGGGATACGAGTATAATTTATCATTTCTTTTTTCATCAGACACTCTCCCAGGTGTCGTCCTCACTGTCCCCGCTCTCTCGCACTAAGTTGAACACTCCAACCTTCTCTCACTCTTAGTGCCCTCCTTTTTCTCTCTTTGCGTTTGTCGTTTAATTGAATACAACTTTTCAAACGACTAAGAGATCTCTTCCTAAGGTATCATATTTTGTATATGTTTTATTTATATGATGTCTGAATTGCTGAGTAAAAGGTGTTTGATGAATTGTGTAAATGAAATTTGTCAAGATTCGGAAGAGATGAACCTTGAGTGCATCGATGAAGCCATACAACAATCAATCGGCCCACTATTTTTTTTTTCAAAAAAAAATTATATTTTTTAAAATTTAATTTTAAAGTTGCTAGCTCAATCACATTTGAGTTAAATTTCTTAACTCTCAATTAATTGAACTTAAATAACGTACAGTTAGTTGAATCCCACCATATGTTTTTAAGAAACCATTCTATATCTCTCATTCTCCTTCTCTCCCCCAATTGGTAATCTTGATACATTTAGAAAAATCTCCTTAATTACATTGACATGAAAACTAATCGGGAATAATTATAATTGCATTGGATAGAAGGGTTAATAATCAATATTTAAGTTTTTCCATTTATTAGTTGTTCAAATTTTATCTTATTATTTTTAAAATTTGCCCCCACTACGGCAAATTTCTGGTTCCACCCTACATGATTGTTAGTGTTATGGCAACCAAATTTTAATCCGGATTGAATTTGAATTGAACCCGATTTGTAACTGGAATTTAACCAAAGTTCAACAGTAGAAACACGAACAACATTGGTTAGAGTGGTTTGGGATAAAAATCGTGTTTAAGTTGAGATTTGGTCAAAAGTTCTATAAGTTGAAATAAGTTTGGGTTGACCTTCCAACTAGTTTAAGTCGAACCCTTAACCCCCATCCACCATTTTTACCCATGAGCTAATCCTCAACCTTGGAACCATCCCCACCTTAATAGTGGACTCCCCCAACAAAACAAGTCCCCCTTCCCAGTCCACACTATCCATAGTGAAAGCCCATCCCCACTCACCATAAAAAAACTTTCTCTTCTCAAAGGCATCTTGATGGCCCAAGTCCGTGGCAAAGTTGTCATTTAGCGGCCTTCCAAGGGGATCAGTTTGTTATGCCAAGGTCCCCTAGCAAGTTTTTGTTAGTTGTGTTTCATTTTT